TGAGGAGCCGCTAAAACGGCAGCGTTTTGCCCAAATCTTCTTTCGCTTCCGCGATCAAAATCCAATGGATGATTGGAGAAGAAGCTTCCCGGACTTTATTCAATTGAATACAACCGATCGAATAGCATGTTAATTTATACAAGTTTTTTTGTCATTATTTTTTTTTCCAAAAAAAAGTTAATTTTATATTTTCTACTTATCTTTTTATGTTTTATTGCATTTCTTCATATAATAAGGATTTTCTTTCCACATTCTTTTATCTTTTTAAATTTTCTTTCTATCTAGATTTATAAGAATGATTCGTCCCGTCCCCTCTCCAACTTAGGTAGAATCTCATATATAAACTTAAGCTTTAGAATTTATGTATACTTTTAGATCAAACATAAAATTGATTTTATGGTATTATATTTCATTAAAATAAACCGTCATGGTCATGAGCCTAAGGAATCTGAGACTTCTTATTTGAGTGTTCACTATATATAATACACTGACAGTATCCATTATCTTGAGAAAAATGAGTCCACGAAAGCATAGCTTAATTAAATAATTTATAGATAAACTAAAGTCTAAAACTAGGAGAAATCTGTGGTGTTTACATGGGCAAACATCTGGTAGTAAATGTCACAGGCTCAGCTCAAGATAGCAAGAAGAAAGACAATCTTCATCAAACCAAGAAACAGAGCATAAGAAACAGAGCATAATCCCCATGCAGTGGACCCGCCAAACCAACAAGTTTTGGTATTACCAGATCCCTACTTGAAGGAATCGAAGAAATTTACAGTGTCATTTAGAGCCTGGATAAAGTAGTCCACATCCTCTTTTGTGTTGTAGAAGTAAAGGCTAGCTCGTGCGCTCGAGCTCACACCGAGAGCCCGATGGAGGGGCTGCGCACAGTGATGTCCTGATCTGATGGCTATACCATGCTGCATTAAAATATATGTAAGGACCCATAGAAAGTAAGTGATGCACTCTAATAATACAATCTCCCTTGATGTACCTGTTGATCAAGAAAAGTTGCAATGTCCGTTGGATGCATGTTTTCAATATTGAACGAGCACAGAGCAGCACGTTGAGCATTAGGGACTGGGCCATATATGCGAATGTTAGGGACTGCACGAAGGTTCTCATATAGATAATTCGCCAATTCTTCCTGTTAGCAGACAGAAACTCATTGCTGGTTAGACTACAGTATCAAAACTTGTGAACATATTTATCATCTCATCCTATGCTTCCAGTTTTCGATTTCAGATTTCCAGGATGTTGATGAAAAATAATATCTGAATCCCTTGATTAGAGCAAGATTTCCATTACTATGCAACTTTTTCACCCCAACAAATTTCAAAGGGATACATAAGCCAAATCTCAATCAACTCACTTCATAAGTATGAATCTTTTGCATGCCGATTTCAGACAAATAATCAATAGCAGCTCCCAATCCAATTGCTTCTCCAATCGCTGGTGTCCCAGCCTCGAATCTAATGTATTACGTTCGAAATTAAGCCAAGTGTCAATTGCAAAAAGATGAGCAAACAAAATCAGCAGCCAGCATAGAAACTTATAGATAAAGCGCTAAAGTTCATGATATTATTTTAAAAAAATTAAATGAAACTTTAGGTGCTCTAATTTTAGGAATAAAACATAGAAGATTAATGGCATATTCAGCATGTCCTCAGTCTTATATATTGAACGTTCTAATTTTTCCACCCCATTTAGAATAAAAGGAAAACGTTGCACCCTTGCAGTTCACCAACCTGGAAGGAGGTTCTGCAAATGTGGAATGGTCAAGAAATACATCTGAGATCATCTCTCCACCACCTAGAGCCATGTAGGACCAGATATGAAAATTAGATATTGACTCCCGTCTAACTAACTGATACAAGTTTATTTATATATATTTGCTTTCATAGCTTATCTTCTCGAAGTACCTACCTAAGAATGGAGGCATTGCAGACAGCAGATCAATCTTTCCATATAAAAATCCGATGCCTGTAGGCCCACACATCTGAAGCATGTTTATTCCTTAACTTCATATGCACAAATGTAAGGCCCAAGATTTAATTAATAAGAAAACAGCCTAACCTTGTGAGAAGAAGCAACAAGAAAGTCAGCATCAAGCGCCTGGACGTCGACAACCATATGTGGAACGCTCTGGCATGCATCTACTAGCACTTTAGCCCCAAAACGATGTGCCCAGCTAACTATGTCTTCAATTGGAAGAACAGATGCTGCAGACACAATCAAATCATACTGAATTCCACTATGTACATCAGTTCTTTTCTTTCCTTCTTCATTCATTGAATTTTATTACTTTTACTCAGCCAAAGAAGATTCAACTTGACGTGTAATAACTGAAAAGATATGATCACACTTCAGTTGGAAATACTCACCTACTACTTGTTCCACTTGAGTAATGCTTACAAATTGAATGGTAAAAAAAAAAAAGGAAATAAATTACAGTTGTAACCGCCTAAGCCCAAACCCACCACAAGCAGATATTGTCCTCTTTGGACTTTCTCTTTCGGGCTTCCCCTCAAGGTTTTAAAACGCGTCTGTTAGGGAGAGGTTTCCACACCCTTATAAGGCATGCTTCGTTCCCCTCTCCAGCCAATGTGAGATTTCACAACAATAGTGCTAAGATATCAAATAGAAGGGTGTACCTAGTACATTTGAGACATGATGGGTAACCACAAGCTTTGTTTTTGTTGTAAACATCTCCTTGAAATCTTTCAAGTTTGGGACATCATGTTCATCTAAACTCACGAACTTCAGAACAGCACCAGTCCTTTCAGCTACAAGTTGCCAAGGGACAATGGCACTATGATGTTCAGCAACTGTAAGTATGATCTGCACTGAAAGAAAAGATCATTACAGTTAAAGTTACTGCAGTATAAGGCTACACGATACGCACCTCATCTTCTGATTTTAAATTCGCTATGCCCCAAGAATAAGCCACTAGATTGATAGCTTCAGTTGCATTCCTAGTAAAAACGATCTCTCTAGCATCTCCAGCATTGATAAAAGACGCAACCTTCTTTCTTGCCAGCTCATACTCGTCCGTTGCCTTCGCACTACAATCACAAATGGTCGTGATTACAAGTGATCAAGACATCGTTTAAATTCACGTTTCATACCAAAGTATGAACAACCTACCTCAAGTAGTGTATGCCACGATGAACATTTGAATTGTAAGCCTCATAATAATTCTGCAAGGCTTTCAACACGGCAATCGGTTTCTGAGAGGTGGCAGCATTGTCCAAGTAGACAAGCTTGGAGCCATTTACTTCCTGCGGATCGCAACACGGCCATTAACACCACAAGTGCCAATAGATTACAACAATAATCACTTGAGACTAAATAGTGGTAGTAAATATAACGAGATTCACAAACTTTAAGGAACTAATACCAAATAGACGAGAAATGGGTTTATGATTAATGAAAAAAGAGGAATCGGCCAAATCACCAAAGAAAACATACAGAATAACGATAATAAAAAACAAGAACCTGATGGAGGATGGGGAAATCAGGTCGAGTTGAGTGGCCAAGCGAAAGAGAACCAAGATGCAAGTTGTCCGTTTCCCTAGCGGTGGAAGCTGAAGCAGAAACAGAGAAGGGAGAGGAAAATCTGCGGAAGCGGAAGCGGAGAGAAGGAGAAGAGGAAGTGCGGAGAGTGGAGGAGAAACAGGAACTGCAACGACTAGGGTTTATGAAATGGAGTTGGAATTGGAAGGATGGGAGCTTGAGAACCACACCTTCCATCATCCTTTCGTTCCCAAACTTGAGAGAATCGAAGAGGTCTGGATGGATGGTATCGATGCCCCTACACACAATAAAGCTGTATCACTTATAAAGTAAAGTTGACCTTAGAAATTAAATAAATAAATAATAACAACTCCAAATTCAAAGAATATATCGGTAAAGAAAAATAATATTCACCATTATACAAGGAAAACTAATAATAACGTAAACTTCAAAAGCAAGAAAGTAACAATAAATAAATAAATATATATATATAGCAAAAACTTTTTTTTAGAAATACTTCAGTAAAAATTTAAATTAAATTAATTTTAAGCACAACATGGGTACATGTTGGCAAATAAATATGATATATTGGTAGTATACTTGGTCAATCTGTTCGTAGCATATCAGTTGATTGACTATACTTGGTCAATCTGTTCGTAGCATATCAGTTGATTGACATATGACACATAACATATATATGATAGTAAGATATTTGTCTCTTTTTCAAAAATCTTGAGGAAAATCTCAAATGGGACATATCTACTACCAATGTGTAGTTATAATAGATAAAACATTTTTTCTTTTTGAAGAAGAATATTATTAATAATTAGGCTTAATATAAAAAATTTAACAAAAGAGAGCTCCAAATCTTACATAGGTTTGCATGTTACAATTTTTAGCTTCACTTTCTATTCATTCACTCACTCATTTAAAAAAAAATCTTCAAAAATGATTTCAATTAAATCAAACTTTGCCACCAACATATGAAATCAAATCCATAAATGTAAATATATTTTATAATTCATTGAATACATGTTAAAATGTTTCTTTGAACAAAAACTTATTAGGAGGCTAATTTGCAACATGTTTCTCTTAATTTAAGGTAAAGATGGTGACATTTATATAAAGGTAAGGTGTAGAGGGATAAAATCGTAAATTTAAATTAGTTTACTTTTCAAGCAAATGTTTCAACAACATGAGAGCTTCCAACAATAAGAATTAAATCCTTCAAATGATCCAATTATGTAAGTACATAAAATCAATAATAAAAATGTGAATGTTAATTTAAACATATTTAAACATAGTTCAAATGATCGAAGCACATACAGAGCTAAAAGAAAAAGAGTAAAAATAGACTAAATTACCATTAACAATGGCCTTGAGTGTACGAACCATCCATTAAAAAAAATGTACAGAGAACACAATTAATACAAAAAATATAAATAAAAATAATAACACACTATAACTATGCAAATAAAGAATGACTTGAGAAAGGTGCAAGTCCCTGTGATTATCATTTCTTCATAAAATAATTATTCAAAGAAAAACTACAATATTTCCTTCCAAAAAGAAGGTTCTATAAGAAATCCATCCATGATTTTCAACGGTTCTTTCATTTGTTAAAGTACTCTAACAAAGGCCAATACTACCGTGAAGACAAATTTGAAGTTGTCAGCCCAACAAAAAAGTAACAGGCTAGACACCATTGTATATCAAAAGCTAATGAAGGCAACGCAAACTGGGTTTAACCAGGGGGCTTTCCAAAAATATTAGGCTTGGAAGTGTGGGAGCAAAATACCTCCATTAAGCAAATCAAAAAATACTCCTGTGGAGTTGAAGAGAAGAAAAGGACGTGCATTATGACCTTTTCAATGTGGGAAGTAAACAATCGTACACCCGTTCCATGCGCCACGTAATTCTGAGTTTATCTCGTGTTGGAAGACCAGGCTTCCCTAGATCCAGAATATCCTGCCTCAAACTGTTTACAAGGTTAGATTACAGCTTTAATGTAAATGCACTATAATTGTATGGATTAACCCAAGAACCAAATTTAATATTTGTGCAAGTAACTGTTTAATATAGTGAAGAGCATACAGTGAATGTAATCTTAAGATGTTATTTATCTCAAAAGGTAATAAGGCTTCTGGTAAAATCACGCGCAGGGTTTGGGGAACTCAAATTTCAATAAACCACAAAAGGTAGAAGAACGACGAAGAGGGGGCTGATAAAGAATGAGTACAAGAGAGGAGATGATAATGATGGCCAGTGGTCAAAGGATTCCTTGTTTCAAAGAGGATATTTGTTTTTTTATTTTTTTAAAACCAAGCTTCCGACTAGAAAAAAATGAAAGAATACAAGGGTACACAAAAAAGAAATCCACGAAGGGAGAGCCAAGTAACAAACAACAAAAAGGGGCTTCAAAGAGGATATTTGTTTTCTACATAAAGGGGCTACATTGAGAGGGAGCATTTTTCATCTAGAAGTTATCGTAAGATTAAAAAAGATGTGACTCCTGAAATGGCATATTGGTAAACATTCATTGCAAATTTATATCTATTAGAGTATCCTCCTGATTGGTTAGAAGATAGAGCAGAACTCCAATGTTGTACTTGGTAAACGAAGTTGTAAGTAAATACTCACTGACATCCCTATAATTTTCAATTCAAAGGATGGGGCGTCCTGATGTATATGATGTTTTCAGGGCCATGTCACGATTGTTTTAACCCCTTCTTACTTGTAGATTTTTTTTCCTTTCAAATATATTCCCGGTTTCACACAGAAGAGGATTTGTATGAGAAAATGAATGAAAAACGTAAATATTGATGAAAAGCAACTCCTAATGACCTAGAAATTGTCACATGTTTTCAGGTCAATTCCTGACGAAAATGATGGCGCATTTGACAAAAGAGTCGAGCAAACAATTTATCTGTATATAATGCAGATGCCATCTCTCTATATCTGGAACACATGCTGGTTGGAAAGTATTGCCTAGAAAGAAAGAAGAAAAGCTGAACTAAAACTTACTATAGCCATTCACCGGTTGCTTTGGCATGCTTCTCGGAAGCATGGTACAGCCGACCCAAACTATACAACAGTAACCCAAACCTACATTCAGCATCTTTTACCTGCAAATATTGAAAAATGGAAACCTTCTCATTCTGCTCTCAAGATATTCAATAAAGCAACGTGAAGAAAGACAATTCCTTCTCTCGTATATTGTGTTTGCCTTTTAGGGATGGAGAAATATCTATGTTTGAGACTCAGGTAGCTAATCAATAATCCTTTTTCGTATGAGGAAATAAGCTTACACTGAGAACAAATGGAAGACTACAAAAGGACATACAAAAAACTAGCCCAACAAGTCCAACTGCCCCCAGCCCAAAAAAAACTACACAAAAAGGGAGTCCAATTTAAAACAAACAACCAAGCCAAGAGAATAGTTACAAAAAGTCTTAGTCACTAACGGCCACAGAGAGATGTTTAACCCCACAAGGACCATGCCTTCTCCCATGTTTTCTCAAGCTCTTTAAAAAAATTCCTGTTTCCTCTTCTGAGCATGTGTTGACACATCTCTCTAGGCTTCCAAAAGGATACGGTTCAGTTTTTTCTCTACTTTTGTTTGATTAGGACCAATTGGAAGTTCTAATTTAATACCCCTTAATTGAAGGTTGACTTAGACTACTAGTCCACTCTCCTTTTCTTTTACGTTCTCTTTTCTAACAAGTGTAACTTCTATAGCAAATAAATAAGTAAAAACTTCTGGCTTACTATGCTAGGATTAATTATTTCATAATGTTTACATTCACATGCTGATCTGCAAAATAAACATGATTTTTTATAGCAAACAAAATGTGTACAAACAGAGAAGAAACATGTTTGAGAAGCCAACAAGTAGATTGAGCTCCTTACACGTCCTTGGTCAACAAAACTCTGGTATTGCATAATTGCTTTCTCCACCTCCACGACAAGTAGTCTTCTCTGAAGCCGAGCAGCTCTTCCCTTCCCTTCAGCTCTAGTATCCTAAATGTCATAATCAGTAAGTAAACTGACTGTCTCTTTTTTCCAAAAAATTTACATAGAGTGGTATTAGCCAATTGTTGGTCAGAAGATTAGGGTTAATTTGTAACATCAACTGAAAAATAATGAGGTTTGAGTTGAGGAACAGAAGAAGACTGCAATAAATCTCTATCACCATTCTCCCTAGGGGCTGATTAATCAGGTAAAAGAAAATAGGCTTGCTACTTTTCATTGAAGTCTCGTGAAATAAATATCCAAAAAAAGAACGAATGAAAGAGAGAAATAGAGAATGAATGAATGCAAGGTGTTCTTATGGACTGTGGGCTTGGGGGTTTGGATACTTCGACCAAGTTTAAGGGAAATCCGGGAAAGTCGATGGCCACTGGGATAGAGAGCAGTCCCCACTCAACTTCATGACCACACAATTGATGAAGGTATCAGCACTCAACTGCAGCTGTCCTACTCTAACGTCTTTCAGGAAGGCAAAATCTAATTTGATAAAGGAACTCGGAAAAAAGTAGAAATAAGAACAACATCACACTTGAATTTAACGTTAAAAGATGTGAACCAAACTAGCTTTTAGTCCACTTACCTGTTTATACCAAGCACGCAAAAGCATCAGCAAAAGAAGTGAGAGAAAAAATGCTGGCAATGCAGCTAGAACAGCGAAATTGATTTCATTTGCCTTGAGAATCTGGTCAAGCTCAAGCATTGCCCTATTTAAAAGCCATCATAATATGAAACCATTGCCATGAAACCAAAAAGGAAGATGAAGTTATATAATGATTGTTCACCAAAAATGGTAACTTTCTGAAACTTACGTCTCAATATCCAATTTTAGCTTCTGCACCTGCATCGACACAGAGAAAACTATCAAGTATAGTGTACCTGTCGTATGGAGATAATAATTGAACATGTAATAACCTGGATAAGCAAAGCACGGGCCAGCTCTCCACTAAGAAGATTTTGAATGGGATGCATCAGTTCTTTCTCATACCTAAAGTAGATGAAACAATGAATATCTATCATCGAAGAAAAGCATTCATTAGATCAACCTTTACAAATGGATATTAGATTATTGCAATGTTTTTTTCCCAAGAAAACATGATTCAAAAATCACGAAAATATAAGAATATTTATGAAATTAAAGCTCTGCTAGGAAGCAAAAAATTAAAAAGAAAAAAATCCTAAAACACTAAGGTTCCTTGTAGAATTTCTGCAATTATGTTTGTTTATTTCTAGCAAAGCATTCCACATAACATTTCTAATCTTATTTAGCAAAGGACTTGCCGTTCCCAATATATAGGTTCCACAAACAACCTGTACATGCATTCCTTTACCAATATAAGAATAGCCAAGCTAACCCCAAACAACCTAACTATCTTCCACCAAATTTGCAGAGAGATAAAACAGGGAAAAGAAAGATGTCTAATGTCAAATAACATTTGAACCCCACATGAAGAGAGCATAAAGTAGGAGGAAACATGCATGTTGCTAAATATTGACCAAGCTGTCGGTGTAAACTTCAACATAAGAGCCAACAGAAGTGTCACAATGTGATTGAAGAACTCATTAGAAACCCAAGAGCAGAAAGTTGAATTTGTGACATAATATGAAGAATAACACACTAGTCGATGGTCACATCAACATGACATTAGAGATGTCCATTTAATCCACGGGACTGAGGATTCCCCGATTAAACAAGAATGGGGAGGGAGGGGGGAGAAATTTTTTCGCATTTGCTAATAGGGGCCGGGGACAAGGAATACATTCCCCGTCCCAGACTTTGGCCCCGCCCCAATCCCCACAAAAATAAATGAGGAATTTTGCGGGGATGTGGAGTAAAATAAGAGGTGGGAGCGAGGATGAGGAAAGCTTTCTCGTCCCTGTCCCACTCTGTGGACATCTCTAATGACATAAGTACTAAATTGTCAAAGCACTGAATCATTCCTCATTCCCACCACCTATTTCATTTCTCATTCCCGCGAAACTCCCCATTATTTTTGTGGGATTTGGGGCGGAGATTCCCTACGGACAATTGGTAGGAATTGGGCCCCATGGGGAACTTTTTCCCATTTATTATTCTTTTTTAAAAAAATAGCAATTTAAAAGAAACTTTTAAAGTATACTTTTCATTTTTCAATATAAACTATTGATTGGTGTTGATTAGCTGTGAGATATTGGAAATTAGAGTTGAACCACCTTGTTGTAAATTATTATTTGTTAGATAAAATCATTTCACCTACAAGAGTAGTAAAATATATAAAATTAATCTACACCTAAATTATAAGGGGAAATTTTGTTAATATGATTTTCGAATCTAAGAAAAACGACATCAAAAAAATAGTGATTGGTTTTCTTTTCCAAGTAATAAATTAATAGTTGAATCAACAATAATAGCGATAAATGCAACCAAAACAAAATAACTCAAGTGACAAATAAATTAATCCAATTTGCACAACAAAAACTAATCCAAATGTCAAAAACATTTCTTATTACAAAAATCAAACAAATGGAAGCAAGATCTTAAACCATTGAAACTTGAAAGACATAAAACTCATTGGAACTTGGAATTGAATTTTGAAAGTTTGCTCCCTCTTTGGAAATATATGGAACTTGGAAGTGGAATTTAGAAAGTCTCTCCTTGAAAATATACCTATATTTATATTATCCAGGGCGGGGATGGAGACAGGGCAGGTCTGGGAGTTGTGTGGGGAGGGGGACGGGGATTATATTTCTCATCCCTGTCCCCAATTATCTAACGGGGAGAAATCTCTCCCCATTCCCTCCTCCATTACCCATCTAAACGAGGAATACCTTCCCCAACGGGGCCCCAACCCCGCAGGTTAAATGGATATCTCTAGCATTTGTTATGGAACCAAAGAAAAACACAATCTAAAGAAGATGCAATAACACTGTTTATGGGAAATGTCAGCCTTCCTCAGTTTTTAACAACAAATTCATGCACCCTGCAAAGTTCAACAGTAGATAAAACTACAAACAAGATAGGGGGAATAACCTGGCCATAACTATTGCAAGCATTTCTTGATCTGATGCATCGTCTGGAAACTTCTGGCCTTTCGTGTGTTCACTGAAAGCAAGTAACATTCTGGAAAGAAGAGGATGATTATTTAATATCTTTTGCATATTCATCCAAAAAAAAAAAAAACATATGGATATTGCTGTAAAATTTAGAATTTCTTTCAAAATAGTTTTGCTTTCCACAATTAAATACCGTGAAACCTGTTTCTGATAACTATTTTCTCAAATTTCTTATTAATGTTTTGTTTTGTATAATGTGTTCTCACAAATTACCATTTCGTAGAACAAAGGAATTTGCTCTTTCGTCCAAAATTATGGGTTTATGAATAGTAGAATCAATATCCACAGTAACATTGATAGTAGATCACGTTGCAAGAGTAATGTATATTACTCTGTTTTCTTATTATACAATAGAGAAGAGCATAGATCTATTTATAATAGAACTAATTTTCTAGAGAAGATGAAACATTACAGAAAAGAAAACAATACAAAATAGGCTAATTCCCTTATTTGATAGGATTACACCTATACTTCTCAAATTAAGGTTATTCCTTTGACCAATCACAAATCTTTAAAGCAGTTAGGGAAATAAGGACTGAAAACAGCTAAACTAACAATTTTCCAAGACAAATTCTTAAACTTTATCAATTATTAGTCTAAGAAAAAGTCAATGCGAGAAAGAAAATATCATGTGGAAAGAACGGAAGTTAACTAAAAGTCATCAACCTCCATCATATTGACACAGGTCAAACTCATCCCAAATGGGTTAGTGACCAGAGAGGTTTAGGTATTTCCTTTGTAATCTTCTCAGCATTTCAATCAAAGTACATAAATATATTAATTAATTAATTAATTAAAATAAAGAAAAACTAGAGGGATTGTTTGAAAATTGGCTTTAATAATGGCTGTGTTCTGTAGAACAAATTTCTTTTGAAGAATTTGGAATTACGTAATGAAATAAAGTCTAAGGGTTCACGTTAGTTAACGAGGAGAGTTCTTCATGGATTCTTATGTTGCTCTACTTTGGCTTTCGTGGAGTTTGGAGGCAAGCTTTTTCATTTGGATCTTGTTTTACAACACAACAAAATAAATGACCTATTTTTCAGGAAAACAAAAATGAAATTGTTACTCCTCCTAAAATCAAAAATCTGTAAATAGTGATTTCTATTTAACAATATTAACCATTACAAGTCATCCAATCACAAAATATAAAAACATTTTGAAAATAAAACAGAAAGCTGTTTTTAAAACAATTTTCTAAAAAGTCAATAGTTTTCTGATTGGAGATAGAAATCAATTATGCAAGATCGACATTTCTCATCTCCAGCAATAAACTGGAGCTCAAAAAAAATTACAGTCCGTGAAAGACAATCACCTGTGCAGTGAGTTGACAGTTAATTGAACCTCTTGAACCTCCATGACACCTTTATGCCTCTTTCTAAATGTATCAAAAAGTTCGTCTCTAATTGAAATAAGCTGCAAAATAGGGAGTTAGAATACCAATTCAATAAAGTTTCTGAATGTGAGTCATTGGAAATCAATCATTATTAAGTTACATTAATGGAGAACATTGATGAACCCTGGCATGGACATCAAGCCAATTTATAGGTGCTACCATAACTAACTAACCAATAAACTAGGCAACTAAGCTGCTACTAATCTAGAGGAATTTTGAAGTGTGCCACACTTCAATGTCTCCATGGAGTTTTACTACTGAAAAAGAAAAAAGTACATGACTTATCTTCGAAGACCCTCCGACTTCCTTCCTTCCATAGTTCCCAAAACAAGGCCCAACCTGTAAACTTTTCCCTTTCCTATGAGGTTCCACCCACTTAGAACTTCAAGAAGCCACTCCATCACCAAGTTTGGTATACACACAAACAAACCAGAGGTCTTTAACAAAAGACACCATCCTCTCCAAACAATAGGACACCGGAGAATAAATTATCAATATTTTCTTCGTCTCTTAGGCGAAAGCTACACACCGAGGGAGAAAGACACCAATAGCAAACCCCCCCCCCCCCCATTGAATTTCTACTTCAAACCGTTTCAGGGTTTTTCCTCATGAACAACAATTGATGCTCCTTAGCTTTTGGTTGTATTTTAGCAACCCATTGTGTCGTTTTGTCCCTTTTTTTGCACGAACCTTTTCTTTGGTACTTTCATTCTTACATTTTAAAATAATTAAAAATAAGAGGAAAAGAAGGGAACTATTATATGGAAAGCCTCACTACATCAAACATCACTTTTTTTTTCTAAGAATAACAAAACTTTCATTGAGAAGGAATGAAAGAACTAAGGAGAAAGTTAAATAAAAATAAAAAAACAGCCTCCAATATAACAAAATAAAACGAAGTGAATAATTACATTAAACATCACTTTCTTTGGCCATTAGAAGCTTTGGTGAAAGAAAGTTGCATTGATTAATCTAGCTCAATCTACAAAGTTGAATTGGCACGATACCCTCAGTAAAATCTACCCAAAGCTTCATCTGATATCTGATCACTCAAGTTCTAAGAAGTTTGTGGATAGTGGGATTCTCTAAGATAAACCTTAGAAACGCAAGCAATCATATATGATAGTCTTACAAACTTCCACTTTCCAGTTGTTGGTTCATAACCTCTAATTAGTTTTTTTTTTTTTTTTTTTTCTAGGAAACAAAACAATTTCATTGATGTAGTGAAACGTAACAAAAGGTTCTATCAAGAGATGATCACAAAAGGCTATGCCATTGAGATATGAGCGCAGATAAAAACCTCTAGTTTCCAACAAGAAAAAACCTGCCAAACATTTTTTAAAAAAATGAGAAACAGATTTCATTGAAGCAATGAAATAAACAAAAAGAAAAAACGCCTGTCAATTCCTAGTCCCTGGTCCACATACTTTTTAATCTAAAAAGGGTGGGCCCCAATATAAGAGTTTGTTGCAAGTCTAAATTATCTTGCTTGCTTTTCATGTTAAATTTCAAAGAGGTACATGTGACTTTTATAATACATGAAGGCTACCTAAATCTCCAAATACTAGGTAACAATAAATCTAATCTAAATAAATCTTAATCATGAATCTAAATAAATGGGTAGCAAGACGTCTAAATAAATCTACAGATTAAATTAGAGAGGTCAACTACTTCCCTCGTTTAATGGGATTACACAAATATTTCTTATATCAAGGTCATTTCTTCAACACTTCCCCTCAAACTCCCTCAAGCCGAGTAATAGAGTAAGTAATAGATTCAACCTCAGCTTGGATACTCAAGCTGAGTAATAGAGCGAGTAATAGATATCATTCATTCTCAGCTTAGATACTAACTCATGAAGAGCATTCCTTCAACAAAGTTCACTTCTTGGAAAGATTGAATACACTCCTACAAGCCTCATGAACCTACTCTAGGACACTCTCCAGCAAAGTAATCCTCAAACTAATTCTACAGTCCCTAAGATTCAATGCACGTGGCAAACATTTATCGAATAAAACCAACGAAGCCACAAGCATCAATAAACCTCCCAAGCATTCAATGTTTCTAGTTCTTCAACCCTCATCAGACTTCTCAACTCAACAAGCAACATTAAAGAACCCTGACCGTTCCAAGAAGCCAATAATGATTATCATCATACCCAAAAAGATCTTAAGCTCTACCTATGGATCCTTTATAATGGACACATACCACCAGCAAGAGGGATCGTTATGCCTAGAAAATTCAGTAAGGAGAGAAAAAAGCACCCTCAATCACTTCCTCGGCCAGCAAACACTCAAACACTCATATTGAGAAATAAAGCATCCCTTCTCACAATTGATAAACAAAAAAGATCCAACGTGACATGAAGAGAGGCTTCAAAGTTATTTAGCATAATAATCAACCATAACTGAAGACCAAACTCAAGAAAAATAAAATACAATGGTAAAAGAAAATAAACAACTGAGCTCCAAATAGCCAATTACGGGAAAACAAATAAAAATAGTAAAAGTAATACCGGTTGTTCTACATGATCCTTGAAAAAACTGACTGCTGAATTATGTGCTTCGTTAAACCAATTCTCAATGTCATTGCTCCCCATTAAGCTACTATGTTGGATTAGCCAAACAGAGCAGACTGAAAGACCAACTGCACCACAAGTATATCTAAGCCAGTGTTGAGTTAGTTTCCTTGGCTTTCGATGTTTAGAAACCTAAGAAAGAAAGACAGGTGCACATCAATACCTCTTAATATGGAAAGGCATAATACAAAAAGAAGAATCAAAGTATGAGGAAAACACACATAAATTAACACAGCTTAGTGAAGAGTATTCATAAACTATCAAAAATTAATACATCACTGTAGGAAATAGCTCTAAGGTGCTCCAAAACTTCGTTTTCAATACCAGCCTGAGGGGGGAGGTTACAGTATTTATATTAGTATATTTGTGCTACACTAAGAATAAAAACTATATTTACTATAACACGTTAGCTTAAAGCATCGAGTGATAGATTTAACATGGTATCAAAACAAGAGTTTATATTCTCAGACTACTAAATTGTCATTTCTTCTCAATTAATATTGATAACCACACATAGGTTTTCATGTAAATTTCAAGCCCAAAAGTGAAGATAGTGTGATAGTACGACTATAAAATCAAATTTACCAAAAATTCAGTGGGGATTTAACAATTTGTATTACTGTTAATATCTTACAAATTATGTTCTTTATTGTCTTTTCAAATTAATTACTTTAGGCGATCCTTGTACATGTGTCTATAGTATCTGAATGCTGAAGTGACTGGAACAGAATATACTGATTCTCTTGAATCTTCGGTGATTACGCATCTATATAGAAATGTGAGCACTGTTGAGTCAAATTTTTACTAAACTGGTAGTAAGAATATTACTATTCCTAGCTTTCATTTGGGTTGACAGGGCAGGTTATGATCAAAGTATTTTTCTTGGCTACAAAATAGTTCAGGGGTAAAAAATCAAATTAGTAATAATAGAAGCATGGAAAATGACATCTTACAAGAATATATATGAAAGAGTCCAACTTGTGAAGGTTCTGATAAAGCAAGTTGATAGCATCGCCAATTTCACAACTTGTCCACTGAGATCCTTCCTTGTTCACATCTGGTAATTTTTCAAATAGAGGAAATGAAAAGCTGCCATCGACTAAATCCATCTGCATAGTCATATACAAAGTAAACATTAGGAACTGAAACGTGAAATTAGAATAATTTCTGCTTCAGCATTTTTAGCAATAAAGTTAACAAATAATCTCAATGTTACTTGATGTGCTGCATGCAGTTGACAAATTGATGCCTCTAAATCGAGAAATAAGCCATTCAATGTAACCAACAATGACGGTAAGGAATTTTGTTGATCATTCACTGCCTCCGCCCCAATTTTGTCAATTTCCATAAAGACCTACAAGAACCAGAAAAGAACAAAATCAAAATAAGCCAACAAGAAAATGAGAGAGAGCTAAGAGACAACATCATTCTAACATTGTCTCAGAAGACTATAAAAAAGTCGAGAGCTTTCCAAATCTGATCTCCAACTAAAGTATCACATGTCCAAGTCAAAAATTTGAGTGTGTGTGTGTGTGAGAGAGAGAGAGAGTTCAGACTCAGAGGGAGCAACTATCTTTTCAAGGATAAAATAAAACCACAAAAATGATAAAATTTCTTTTGAAAAATGAGTGCCGAAAAGGCCAACCAAACCTGAGCCACAAAAACTGCAAGATGACATCTTAAGTTGCTCAGTATAGTTATTCGGTCAGCTATGTAAAGAGATGCCTCACGAGCAACATGTTGCAAGGAAAAACCATCCCTAAAATTTTGGCGCATTAACTGCGCTGTTCCACTAAAAAAGGCCCTTGGACCTCTCTCACAAATCATAAAGTAAACTTTTTGAGCATTCGTACCCTGAAAATTTCATGAGAACAATGACATAAGCACACACAACCAAGTTTTAACAGAAATAAGAAAGATAACAACCATATGCTTTGCATTAAAAAGTCAATGAGCAAAATGAACTGAAAGGGATTGACAGGCCTCTCATCCAATCACGAGGGAATGACTTTTAACGAAAGGAATTTTTCTTGTAGTTTCTTCTTCATATTCTTTAGATTCCAAACGATTTTGCTCCAAAAAGGTTGATTAGAAGGTCAAAGTGCCCAAATAAGTTCAACTTCTCCTTGAGCATTGCTCACAAAAAGATTGTTACTCAAGATACGTTGCAGGAAAAGATTCCTTTAATGTTTTTCTCCACAAATGTGTTGGAAAAAGAGGAGAAGGTTTCATCAGTGTTCCTGACTGCTCTTAGGGGGGCATATTGTTCTCAGTTTTTTGGTATGCTTCGGGTAAACTGAAGTCCCTCTACATTGATCGGACTTTTGTGGAAGATGATAGAAACTTAAAAGGAATTACTGGAGAATGACTAATCAGTCTGCTATGTTGCTGTACCATTGTGATAATCTAATGTTGCATTTTGAAAGAAGGATGTCACTGGGTAATAGGTCTTTTGAGGGCACTCAAAAGACACTTATATTGGACCTAAATTTTTTTTCCTGGCATCTTCTATATATGCATAAAATAAATAAATTAAAAACATTAGGTAACAAATAGACTTGCCTCTGCACGAGATTGCCAGAACTGCAAGTTCTTCCAAATGCTATGTAAATTCAAAAAACAGTGCTCCAAAAGATCGCCCAAGACATCATACAGTCTAGATGCCTCTGCTGGTTCCCAGCCGGTTACTGTTAAACTGTTTGCAGTTTCCATGAGCCAATTACGATAAGCAGGCTTCTACTTGTCAACAAAACATGTGCATGGCATAAAAAATGACACTCCATACAATCATCAATTGTCTTCATTTAAATAACATTAAAATTTATCACATGTTACATACGTCACAAGATGCATCAAGTAATGCAAAAATTCGCAACAATCAGCTCAAGCTTAAATACTATAGTAAGTGTAAAGAAAATATAAAGAATGAACTTATCGACCAAATTTCAAATTCTCCAATCGTACCTCTACATGGATACTTACATGAAAATTATGCTTTAATTCATGGAATCAGTTATTCAAATAGGCTATACGGATATATAAACCTTGGACTCAATTTTCCAAATTCTGAATGCAAGTACTTACATTCGTGGAAGAAGACAGATCACAGGTATATGGTTGGTTTGGAACAGAACTCCAAGTTCAAATAATAGTCTTATAAAAAAGCTATTTTAAATAGAAAATGGACAAATGATATAAGAGTGCCCCCGAGATTCTACTGGGAGTGAAAAAAACCAAAGGGTTTTCACACCAAAGAACGAGCTTTGAGTCTAGTCTACTTAGCTATATCTTGGTGTAAATGTATCTCTTTTCAATTACTATGGCTCGTCTGCTCTTTTGCCTATTGGAGAAGTTTGTTGTAACACCTTTAGATTGAGCCCCTGCGACTCCTCTTTTGCAAATCACATACATCAAAATTGTTCATTAAAAAATACATCATCCTCCAAAATATTGACCAAAATTGTAAAGCTTTGAAGGATTGAACAATATGAAAATGGTTGGTCTTGTATGCTCGATAAAATAGAAATATTCGGTCCATTTGGCAGAACATGGTTGACTGAAAGTTTTACCGATTTTCAGTGGAGTTCTGCTTTTACTATTGAAACTTCCACTCTCAGTTTCATTGAAATTTCAGAATTAGCATTCTAGCTTGAATGAAGTGCAGTAAATGCCAAAACAGTTGCCAAGTTTGTTCTAAATAAAATGGGCAGTGGATTTATAGATAAACTCAAGAAAGCCTGCGGTTCAGCTCGGTAGGAACTTGTGCCATTGTCATTGTGGTGGACATTGTGAGTTTCTCTAAAATTCTTATAACATTATAACCTTAGTCTTTCATGAGAAACTCTATGAAGGACATCGATATCCATTTCGACCGGCACAACCAGGTGATAACTCGTGTCACTAAACATAAAAACAGTTGCAATTACAAACAACGCAACAAGCATAGATTTCAAGGTAAAGATGCTAAGTTTTACAAGCAAAGACGAGGAGTAAAATCAAACAAAACCTCCAATTCTTTTTGCTTTCCCATTGACCAGTTATTCTGCACGCATTTGGCAAAATCTAAAAAAAATCAGAAAGGAACAGAAAAAGAGCAGAACCGAGTGAAAAGCGACTTACACAGAAGAGTTTATCGAGTTCAGGGGTAGAGGAAGAGGAAGACCAGTCTTGCGTCTCCTCCGGCGAAGAAGACTCGAAAGCTTCCAAAGAAAATTGGAATCACGAGTTGATGGCAGAAATGCTACAATTTGGTTCCATAGACGAAGGGAGTACAATGAAATTGAGGATCTGATACCCTTTTCTTCACTTTCTTCTGGCTTTGCTTCCATTGGAGCTGCACTTCTCTTCAGCGAATTTCTGAGAGGAAGCGAGCACCTTCTGAATTTTCTTGCGAACTTACAAGTGAAAACTAATTTTACTCTCAATGTCCTTTTCTCTTTGCTCTCTCTCTCTCTCTCTCCCTCCCTTTTTTCCCGCACGAACTGTCCACTTGGCATTTTGTCTACTAAATATAAGGATCTTCGTAAAATTTCTCCCAAAAAATAAACCTTAAATTACAAGCTAATTCATAAATTATTCAACTTTAGAAAAATATAAAATAAATCATTAAACTCAATAAATCCTTAATTTTTCAATTTTTCCAAAATTTTTCACATTTTCAACATTTTTAAAATTACTTATATACTAAACAAATTAATAGGTTACATTATATTGGATATAATATTTAATTTTAATAAATCAACTATTTTTTTTTTGTGACTTTTGAAACAAGGAGACTTATTAAAACAAAGTTTTGAAATCTATACTATAATTTTTAAAATTTAGGATTAAATAGGCAAAATTTATATATATTTATTTATTTTAAGGCTAAACTTATAATTTAGTTATAAAATATAAATAATCGTTAGATTTTAAATAATTATGAGTCAATTTGAACATAATTTAGCTGGTAGGGCACATCGTTAATTAAGACGTTATACGTTTGAATTCTAAGGAACGAGTTTTATTCCTAATGTGAATTAAAAGGGCAACAATAATCCAATTTATTTATTGTCAATGCAATAATAGATCATGTTAAAGCAACTAAAACATCTTTTTAGGAGACATACCATTAGCAAATATTGTCCACTTTAACCCGTTATATACCATTGTCAGCCTCGTGGTTATAAAATAAGTATTAGAGCCAGTCACCAGACCCTTGACCCCAAGGAGAGCAGGGCAAATGATGAGATCCCAAGATGGCAGGTATAAAAATCTCTCCGTAGTAGACACATTTTAAAACTATGAGATTCGTAGTGATACGTAAGAGGTCAAAACAGATAGCGGTGAGCTTGGGCTACAACAGTATTTCCCTTTCTCATCTGTTCACCTGCAACTTGATATTTTTAAAAAAATTATTTAAAGCTCTCTAAGAAATTATTTGAAGATAAAGGTCCTTCTTACAAGCGTAAATGCACGTGAAAATGAAGAATTAAATTAAGTGAAACAAGTGATAGTCATTGGTGGGTGACTTTCCTTGCTGCTTTTCCAAGCATGCACACAACACTCCAGAAGAGCCTACCAGACTTTGATTCCAGAAAAAGCTCTACAATCAACTCAACTATACATTTTCTTCTGGAACAACAACACTATCCTGCACCTACCTCAACTATTTCATTAGCGGCAAAAGAATCAAATTGCTCATCCATAGAAAAAGAGGATCCTAATATAACTAACCTTCTTCGTCATAATCTTCCTCATCATCTATACTCTTATTCAAATTCGCTAGTTGAATTGGATCGATAACCATCTTTTCCATTTCGGCCACTGACCAACCAGGATACTCGTCGTGTTTCGAGTCAGTCAGGGGCTTTACTGGTGAACCTGTAGAAGCAGCCACTGGAATTGAAGTTGAGTCCCCATCTTCATCCAAGTTTACGTTCAAGTCGAAGTTTCGGACTGATGGTTCTACAGCTTTGTCAATAGGAATATTGTCGTTCTCCATTCGAGCTTCTGCTACACCGTTGTCTGCCACAGTTTTGTCGAGGTTGTCGCCAGGATGACTAGGAATTTCCAAATCTTCTTCCAAGTTATCAGAATGTATGGCTGTATCCTTCTCCGAATGCCTACTACTACGCCCACGACCTCTACCTCTGCCTCTACCCCTTCCTCGGCCACTAATGTTGTGACCAGCCTCTGTCTGCAACAGGGGTATACCGCAATGAAATGAGCACAATCTCATAATTGCTATATGGGTTTTGTTTATCCAAAGTACAAGATACATGAATACGTGTTTTGTTTTTCCGAAGTACAAGATACACAAATATGTGTTTTGAAAATAATTCTTACCGTCTTACTCCTTTTGGACTCTTCTTCACTATCATTACCACCATCTTCATCTTCAACTTTCCTGGACCAAAAAGAAAAAAACCACAAATACTATCAAAGATGAATACCTCATATATCACTACACCCAACTAGAGAGACATTTATTTTCCAAACCTTCGTTTCGAAATACAACGGTCCTCCGCAGCATCAGAGGCACCTAAATCAGGTACCTTGCCAACAACATCCCTCAAGAAATCAAATACATTAAACGTCTGTATGCATTGTTTTCTGTCAATTCAATGAATGTGTGAGAAAGTAATGTGGTAGGCAACAGCAGAGGTAAAACTATAAAATTAAACTGTTTTTTCCTTCATGGCACTTAGACTGAGACGAAATAAAAGAAGAAACTCATTTCATTTTTCTCAACAATAAGATTAGATCAATAGTTGGAGGCTGGAGCCTAGAGGCTTGAAAGAACCGTCAATGGCTTTCTATTGAACATCAATATGGCATAATCGAGAAGTGGTAGACTGATAGTTGAATTAAGTACATCCTATTTACAAAATCTCGGAATGTCCAAAATTCAATAATTGAGAGTTTACTAACAAGTGCAAAGAGTTCATTGTCTTAGCCCCCCTCTTCAGAGTAATCTCATATGTCCTGTCACATAAATCTTGTAAAAATAGTTCCAGAGCTTTTGCTGCAAAAACAACAGAATAATCAACATACTAGAGCACATTCTAGAAACAACATTTTGGAGAAGAAACAAAAACAACCCAGCCCCCAGTTGTGTGTGTTTATGATAGGAAGGGTAATTAGGGAGATTGAACTGCTTTCAATTAGTAGCTTGGCATGAAGAATATATGGGAGGAGATCATGCAAAGACATCATTATCTTTTTGGGTAAGGACCAATCGTGAGAAGAGTTTTCAGCCCTCTCAAACGGCTTGATATCCTGTATGGTGATCTTCACCAATTTTCTTATTTCACATTTGAATATATTCTAGAGTACCTAGCACAATCCTAAGCAAGTAACAATCTCCAACTAGGGAATTATCACATTATTTGGTAGTTGGTACTTACAGACTAAAAGTGGGACTGCCATAGCAATCTTCCCTACGTCTTCATCAGCCTGCATAATCTTCTTAATCCGAGCCTGTAAATGTTACAGAATACTCAGGTTATCAATGCTATAGAGGGACGACCAGCAAGCAGTTGCTGAGATATAGACTAGACAACTATTTTGTTGATATATCAAAAATCAAATAAGACAGAGAGTTCCAACTTCAACACAAAATCAAGAGACACCCTGAAGAACCATCACAAATCCACAGACAAGGATCATACTGCATAAGGAACACAAGAAAACTCACTGGAGGCAGACAGGAAAAATGAATAGAAATTATTTGTATCGACTTTCATAATCAAAGATCACAACAAGGTTCAAATAGTTAAAGAATAAAAAACAACCATGAAGCTAATTCAAATGTGATAAAAGAACACATCTGATTGTCGAGACCATAAATCAACTAATGTGTTGGCGTGATGCTACATTGGCATGGAACTTGGTGTCTCACAAGGAGAGTGAAAACTAACCAAACAGATGCACAAGAATTCTTTCGGTAGTGCAAATCAAGCGTGTTCGTGTGTCGTTTATTTTTCCGAGAAGGGATGTTAGGATTGGACCCTGATCCTTCCAGCAGGGTTCCCTGCCATTCCTATGTTCACATTTTATCTTTCCTCCTGCTTTGACGGCTGCTCGAGGCTTCAGCTTTTTTTTTTTTTTTTTTTCCTTTTATGGAAAGCTAAAATTCCAAATATGATTAAGGTGGGAGAGTTAATTTCTTGGATCATGTTCAAAGATATTTCCATTCATTTTGCTCCTGTAATGGTGCATTCTCTGCAGGAGGCAGGAGTTTCTGAATCCTTCATTACGGGGTTGTCTGTTCACAAACTACCTTTAGGATCATAGGAGGCACTCAATAACAAGTTTTGTCACTTTATAAAAAATTGTTCAAACAAACACTTCCAAACATCTTGTCAAGTTAAGGGTTATTTGAAAAAACAACGATCTCAAAGATTCTGAAAAGAAAAATGAATAAGCAAATAACACCATAAAGTCAAGCTGTAAAACCTATATGGTACATCTTCCATAGGCATAATTCCTCCAACAAACTATGCCCGTTTTGCAATAGATTTTATGGAGAAATTTCACATTCAAGTTGTTCTCCGTGTTCATTACCTTCAATAAAACTATTTCTCAAAGCAACAAACGCATTAAAGCGACGCCACTGTACATATTTTAACTATTGGAACAGTGCGTAGGGTAAAATGTTTTAGTGGCATCATCTTTAGGAGAAAAAAAAAGAATAAATAAACAAAACTGCTTCCATCACATATGAGACATGATGACCTAATTAACACTTCATCCTCAACAAGAGAACATACAATAACATGTCGGAACAAAAAGTCGAAATCCCAACCCCACCATGGCCGAAAATGGAAACTGTTGCTACCATACATTTCGACGGCCCAATTATAAAGAATATACACAAACAGTGGCACTCAAGACAAATAATCAAATCAGTATGAGATAAATAGCGCGAAAAAAAATAAAAAGAAAGACAGTCGGAAAAGGCAACAGAAAAAGAGAGCTCACGGCTGGAAAACGGGTATCGAGCTTCTTCTTCATGATGTTGAAGAACTTCAATAACCAAAACGCCACTGGAAGATAGGAAACAACGACAAAAGGAACACAAAAATGAGTAGAATGCGAGGAGGGTTAGTGGAACCCTACAAAGCACGGAGGAGAAGAAGAAGAAAAAGAAACCCTAGCTTGGGAAGCAAAGAAACACGACACCTTAGCCAGCAAGAGAGACGCACGGCAGCGCCACAGCCAGAGCTCTGAGGCTGAAACAGGGAAGCAAAGCGAAAACTGACGAGGGAAAAAACACACAATTTTTGTGCTCTGAGCGGGTAAATTTTTTCCTTCTATAATATGAATAAATAAAGATTTAAATCTCTTTAATATGTTTAATTTTAATTTTATTATATTTTGGTGTCAGGACTCTCCAAACAATATTATTAACATAAATTTGGACTTATATTTTTAGATGACTTTATATCCTATAGGCTGCCAAATAATTGGTCACTAAAATTTTAAAATATAATTTATATTTATAACGGTCTACGCTCGCCTCTCTGTATCTGTATCTGTATCTGTATCTGTATCGAGATATATATATATATATATATATACGAAAAAAATTATTTGAAAACCTAATCTCCATAAAAAAATAAATGATTTATTTTAGACGAGAGTTGAAATAGGATATGGGTCAATCCCACTGGGTCTCATGTACATTTGTAGATGTATTATTCTTCACTCTGAGTTAACGATTTTTGTTTACTAGTTTCGCCGATGATGTTACTAGGAAGAGAGAAATTGAAATGGGATTGAAATCATAAAGAAATTGATGTTTTTTTAATGAAGAATCGTGACTTTGAGACGAGTTTTTTTAACCATATGGCAAAAATTTGAAGTCTAACTATAGTTTTTTTTTTTTTTTTTTAAGGTTGGAAACTAAAATAAGAGCAAAACAAAATTTAAACAAATAAGAAGGTATGACACGAGTAGTATTGGTCCATCAAAATTTGTAATTTGTCCTTTTTAAATTCGAAAGTGAGAGAGATATGAACTTGAAACTCGTAAATCTATTTAACACGAAAACGTTAAAAATTTGATTAGACAACAAGAAAATGTTTATATGACAATGATAAGTGAGTTGACGCTAAGCGAGATTTTTTATCACACGAAAATTATATAGCTATCAAATATGATATTTATTGCATCGTCAAAAAATTATATTAAAATTAAGCGTATAAAAATATAATAAATTAAAAATTTATAAATGATTTATATGTTCATTATTTAAGATATTATTTAATGTGTATTCTATTTAAATCTTATTTTGTTACGATTTTATTTTTGTCTTTTNGTTTGTGGGATCATTTTCTCACGAGAGGTAATTAAAAGAAATTAAAAAATGGGGTTGTTACCGATGCCTAGATCTGGGATAAATGGAAATTTTATCGATAAGACCTTTTCAATTGTAGCCAATATCTTATTACGAATAATTCCGACAACTTCCGGGGAAAAAGAGGCATTCACCTATTACAGAGATGGTGCGATTTTATTTTTTTTTTTTTTTTTTTTTGTTTATATTTGTTTTATCTCAAATTTCATATTAGGGTTTTATATTTCTTAAAAAATAAAACATTTGAATTTTTAATAAAATCTAAAAAATAAAATCATATGAGTTTGGTTAACTAAACAATCTTATTTATTAATTGACACATATTGAACGTTTCATATATGAACTTTGTATGATTTTAGCTTATGAATAAATATAAATTTATAAAATAAAGATTTAACCGTTAAATTTAACTGGAAGGTTAATTAACGTTTGAGTCGTATGAGCTGGTAAAATTTTGAGCGGGTAAAATTTTGAGCTGGTAAAATTTTAAGCGGGTCAAAATTGTTTGTAGAAGTCAACCAAGTTGTAGCAATGAGGAAAGGAGTCAAAACACCCGCCAATAGAAAAAGTTCTTCCCTCCAGCTGCCTTGTTGCCCGCTTTGATAACATGCCACGTGAACCTTCCACGATCTGCTGCTGCCGATTTTACTGCTTCCACGCGCCTCAACGAATCCAAAAGAGCCACGTGTAAAATTGTCGACGACGCTTGATTGACACACTCGGAGTTAATGGAACAGTTGCATTAAATAAAAGGGACAAAATAGTAAATAAGAAAGAAACAAACGCGAACCATCACAACTTTTAGCTCACGGACAGCTTCACAATTCACACAGTCTCTCTCCTCTTTCTCTCTCTCTCTCTCTTCTAAAGTTTCCACCGGCGCCTGAGTTCACCGCATTATCCGGCCTCCATGGATTCCCCCATCCATGGCGCCTTGAAGCTCTTATTTACGGTATTTTGTATGGTATCTGTGGTTGTTGTGGCGGTTGCATCGCCGGAAAATTCCGCTTCTAGATCGTCGTCTCCGGCCATGTCCGGCCAGATCAACTCGAATTCCATCCTCGTTGCTCTACTGGATTCTCATTATACGGAGCTGGCGGAATTAGTTGAGAAGGCTATGCTATTGCAGACCCTAGAAGATGCCGTCGGCAACCACAATATCACCATTTTCGCCCCTAAAAATGAAGCTCTGGAGCGCGATCTAGACCCTGAGTTCAAGCGGTTCCTTCTTGAGCCGGGGAACTTGAAGTCGCTCCAGACCTTGTTGATGTTCCATGTGATTCCGACTCGGATCAGATCGAATGATTGGCCGGCTCATTCCAAGTCCGCACGGCAATCCACGCTTTCCAAGCATGTTCTTCATCTTGCCGGTCATCATTCCGGGGAGAAGACCGTCGATCTCGCCAATGTGGTTCATCCGGATGCTATTACCCGACCAGACGGCGTGATTCACGGGATTGAACGATTGCTAATCCCTCAGTCCGTGCAGGACGATTTCAATCGCAGGCGAAATCTTCAGGTTATAAGCGCCGTGAAACCAGAGGGAGCGCCTGAAGTAGATCCGAGAACTCACCGGCTAAAGAAACCGGCTCCACCTGCCGAAGCCGGTTCCCCGCCTGCTCTCCCTATATACGACGCGTTGGCTCCAGGACCTAGTTTGGCTCCGGCTCCAGCGCCAGGACCTGGCGGAGCTCATCGCCACTTCAACGGCGAGAGGCAAGTCAAGGATTTCATCCAAACTCTGCTACACTATGGTGGATACAATGAAATGGCGGACATTCTGGTTAACCTAACATCGCTAGCGACTGAAATGGGGCGACTGGTATCGGAGGGTTATGTGCTCACTGTTCTGGCTCCAAACGATGAAGCCATGGCTAAACTAACTACAGACCAGCTAAGCGAGCCAGGGGCACCGGAGCAGATTATGTACTATCATTTAATACCCGAGTATCAGACGGAGGAGAGTATGTACAACGCTGTTAGGAGGTTCGGGAAGGTGCGATACGACACATTGAGGTTGCCGCATAAAGTGGTGGCTCAAGAGGCCGATGGGTCGGTCAAGTTCGGCAATGGAGATGGATCGGCGTACTTGTTTGATCCTGATATTTACACGGATGGACGGATCTCGGTGCAGGGCATTGACGGGGTATTATTCCCGCCGGAGGAGATTGAGGCCAAGAACGCACCAAAGGCAGTTCAACCCACCAAGGTCGTGGCCAAGCCCCGCAGAGGTAACGATTTTTGTTAAATTTTAAGTGCACTTTTTCCACATTGCTTTGATTAATTCCTCTGATTGGTATAAGTTAACGCATGATTGATGTATGTAGAGCATTCAATTCTAGAAAACCTTTCAAGAAATTCAAAATCATCGATGCCAATTAAGATCATATCCTCGTGATTTCACTCATCGAGATGAAACCACTATTGTCATAATCCATTCTATTAGACGTTTTCATTCCAAACATCGAAGAATGAGCTGATTGTAACCCCTCAGCTAATTGAATAGAATCGATTAGTTAGACATATAGGTGCGTGTGTTAGACTAGATTGGGTGGAGCCTTGATGTGCACTAAAAGTTACTCTTTGCGGTTGCTAAAAAGCACTGTCTCGTGGATTGCAAGGAGGTGAAAATGAAACGTGGGGGGTTTCTAGAGACGTCTCCATGGGGATACTTACCTTTGCAGAGAGGAGGGATTAACAAGATTTTGACATATGACTGTCTTGTTAGGGTTGTTGTGTATGGCCATTCGGGAATCAAATGATAATCTGGAGCAGGGTGGAGAGGTAGTTTCAAAGTTCAGGGCAGTTAAGATTTCTATAGCCCAAGAATTCGGCCAGTGTGAAGTGAGATCATATATCTTTAAGGATGTTAGAAAATGGCTAAATCGTTAATTTTGGTACAGCCAATTGATTTCCTAGGAACTTCACTAAAACTTAATATCTTCTTGCTACAGACTCCGAAACAGCCCAAATCCACCGGTTTGCTATGCTACACTGTTTCTTGTGTTCTTGTAATAACCCAAACCCATTGCTAACAGATATTGTCCGCTTTGGCATAGTCTCATAATTTTAAAATGCGTCTATTTAGGAGAGTTTTCCACACCAAATAAGCAATGTTTTGTTGTCTTCTCCAACCACGCGTCTATTAGGGAGAGGTTTCCATACCTTATAGTGAATGTTTCGTTCTCCTTTCCAATCAATGTGAGACCTCACAATCCACCCCCTTGGAGGCCTAGTGTCCTCGCTGACACACAACTCGGTGTCTGGCTCTGATATCATTTGTAACAGCTCAAACCTACCGCTAACAGATATTGTTTGTTTTGGTCCATTACATATTGCTGTTAGCTCACGATTTTAAAACTCGTCTGCTAGGAGAGGTTTCTACACCTTTACAAGGAATGTTTCATTCTCCTTTCTAATAGACGTGAGATCTCACAGTTCCATAATTTTATCTATCCAAAGAAAGCAATTGCCTAGTTAGGATTTAGGATTTCATTATGCACTAGCCCCCAGTACCTAGCCGGGCTTTTTTTGCTGCAATAAAATTTAAGGTAAATATATGTTTTTGTTTAGAATGGTTTTGTTTTCTTTCAATGTAGTCCCTTTTGTTATATTAGGTTTCAGTTTAGTCTATTTAGTCTATTGTATATCTTCATTTTTATTTATACCTTTTCAATGTTACAATGGGGGTAATGACAAGCTTTCATGGCATGATACTTAGTGAATTGACATAAATTTATAGGAAAAGTTCGGTCACTTGTGAGAAATAAAAGTCGACCAACCTCTTAGAAATTTTGAAGAACAATAAACATCCCCCAGTTTTTTTTTTTTTTCTAATGGCGCCAATTTAACATTTACCCAGGGATAGGGCATAATTGAAAAACATTAAAACATGAGGGATGAAATTGAAGCTTTTTAATGGAGTACTTGGCCTAAAATTTGATATTCGTGCACAAGATTGGGTCACCTTTACTGAATTGATTTTGTTAATTTAATAATACTACTGGATAGTCCGCTTGAACTAAAAATTTCCAAAATGGCAGGGAAACTACTGGAAGTCACTTGCCGGATGTTGAGAACTTTTGGACAGGATTCTTCTTTCACAGCTTGTCACTGAAGCTTGTGATGGTTGATTAAAGCAAAGAAAAAGGTTTGGATTTCCTCTCCTGTCTTTCTTATTTTTGTTATTATTCTCCATCGATTTGGGCCAGAATGCATATTATAGGTTTAGGTTAATGCACGCCCACAGGATCAAAGAATTGTTTCCCATCTCAGTATAGGAAAATAGTTACACGTCAGATTATTAGTTCTTATGGATATTATATTGCAGTACCTCAACTATCCAATGCTTTATTTTATGTCCTTAAGCTTCACATTTAAAAAAAAAAAATAAAAATAATAATAATTATTCCGGTTCCTTTTGTAATTATTAGTTTGATGTTATTCTTTTGGGTTAGAGTCCATTCTTATAGGTAGCCAAGGACACCTTTAGAATGCTTTTGTTTTTTGTATACCCTTACAAATTCTTTCATTTTTCTACATGGAAGCTCAGTTTCTTACCAAATAAAAAGAAAACAAACAAAAAAGGAATCATATTAAATGGACATATGATGTCCCTATTTTAAGTCTCCTAAATATTTTGTAGAATATAAATGGCACCTATTAGATTATCTTTTTAATGTAAAATAATAAAACTAAATTATATTATTTAGAAGTTTATATATTAATTGGAATAAGCATGAAAGTTAATGAAATCCAGGCAATTCCAAAGTTTAGGACAAGGTTTAGGGCTTCCAATTGAAAAATTGCACGAATTCACACCATATTATTGTTAAGACTGTAGATAAGAAATTTACATCTGTTGATGCAGATGGTATCATACACAGAGGAGGATCTGTAAGGAGGGACAACTCGACTTTGGTGGGCTGCTGGTAGGAGAAAAGGTCGTGGAGTATTTTTTTTTTTTTTTAATTTTTAAATTCAATGTTTTGGAGTACATAATACAAATCTATTTTGTATACCTTATTCATTGTCCGTGGTGGAAGTGGGATCTGTAAGTTGAGTCTGGCCAAGATGTATGGGCAGGTAAACCTGCATGCTTCTAATCTGCCCCTGTCAATAATTTGAAATAAAATGTAATGTGGAGTACGAAAAGAAGAATTCTCTGTAATTTCAGTTTTATCAAGTCTCAATAAACCCGAAATTTCATTTGTTTTTATTTCACCAATGAAAATCTTTCTCATCTGTATTTCACCAATGACTACTTTTTGATCATGATGTGTTCTCTTAAGTGTAAAGATTATACATCTTTCAGGTAAACAGAAGGTGGTCCGTATGGCAGAACATTTCTTAGTCTAACCACCGACAAAAAGGACACCCTATATGCACTTAATATTGTTGCAAGAACACTCCATGAAGGATTCTTAGAGGTTGTAGGACTTAATGTTTGGAGATACTTTCCTCCATCTAAAGGCTCAACTAGATTCTGTCTCTAAAAACTGGCCGAGTAGTTGGCTAACATTCTTGAAGATTAGTGAAGGTGGACTATGAACAATAATGTATGTGTAAAGAGTAGAGCGCCTCTAAAATTCTCGTTATTAAAAAATGGTAAAAATAACCTCATCGAAAACCAGTCTTGTTCTTCAGGTGACTCAACACACCAAATGGCGAAGACTTGGTCTCAGTTCTATTGCTAGCCAAAATGGTTGATACAAAAGCATGTTTCTGTTATACGTCAAAATGGCCTATGTAACATGTAGCATATACAAGGTTATGTATTCCTCTAGCAGTTCAAACACATATATCAGCAAAATAATGCATGCATGGGGCGTAGAACATGATAACATTACCAGAAGTTCTAGAAGCGTTTTATTTCATTTTCTCCTCTTTGTGGCAGATCCTGAACCTCGCCCACCTTTCTTCTTTGAATCCTGGGAACTACCTCCTCTTCCTCTGCCACCGAATTTCTTGAAGCTTGAATTTTCCACGCCTTTCAATTCCAACTGCACTTGCATTCCAAACAAAATAGTAAATATAAAGTCCAATAGCAAGGACTTCATATTCCGATTGCAGTTTCTTACTCAAGCTTTGAAGTTCCAGTCGCAACTTCTCACCGTTTGTGGAGTCTTCTATAATTGCAACAAGGAATAATTGGCAACTAGAGAAGCAGGACTTGCCCATCAAGCGCAACTCATTCACTAACCGCTGACCTCGAAAAGACGGATCAAAGCTTACCTGCACCCTTGTTGTCCCAAGAGTTCTAGAGTCTTCGCTTTTTTGGGGCTTTTTTTCATTGCAGGAACTGTATCCCCATACGTGTCTTGCTTACTTCTTTGTATGCCTTTGTTAGAGCATATTTCACAGCAGGGGCACGCCATCCAATAAATTCTTACGACCCTGTGATTAGGAGAATCGTCTGTAAGAAAACTAAGCTAAAAAATGGTAGTTAGTATTGCAGCCATGATATCACTAAACAAACTGTAGATGTCAATACCTGAAATTTTGACAACTCAAGAACAGTATCAAAATCCTCCTGATTGATTGAATATAGACTCATAAACTCAACAACCATTTTAACTGCTTCATTCTGGCAATCATATCATTGAAAAAAAATTATCAAGTAAATCACAGTGCCTCGAAGAATTTACCATTCGTATAACAAAAATCAGACGATTTAAATATAGTCTAACCTCAGGCAGCTTGCCAGTGGCTCAGTCAACCTCTTTAGAAAAAGAGTAAGGTTCTCAGCTTGTAGGTGTTCCCTGTATAATTTTGTATACAAGTATTATAGCTTGCAACTAATGACACACATATCCATGTGAAAAGAGTGGGGTTAAGCAGCTTACACGTGTATTCGGGACACAAAATTTTAACAAGTTTTCAAATATGAACATGGACAAACCAGCTTAGATTTCAGAACATGCAAGAAGGCATATATTTGGGAATAATCTTAAGATGAAGAAGAACCCATAACGTAGAAAAACTTTTATAATGATAGGGGGATCTAGTGGGATGGGTCTCTCTCTCCTTGGCTTGAATTGAAAGCTTTTCTCCTGACCATTAGAAATCTAGTCTATCTTATGGAGAAGTCTAAATGAACTACTAAGCCATTGGAAATGTAGATCTTTTTAATAAAAAATAGAAGTTAACAATATGTTCGAAGAAAAAGAAAGGCAAACTCCTAAGGGCAAAGGTATTAAAAAAAAAAAAAGGCATACAATTTGAAGATATTTAATTCAAAAGGTTCCTGAAACTTCAACAGTAGGAATATCCATACAGGAAGTACAACATGCTACAACAATGGAAAAAAAACAAATACAGCACATTACAAATTACCTCCATGAACAGGACTCGCGAGAAGCAAGAATGTGAACGTGAAAGTCTTCCAAAAGCCTCATATGTTTTCCAAATGTTGAATTTTTTTTCCCAGCCATGCACCAAATCTGTTAAAATTACACTCTCCCTGCATGTACAAAACATAGTGATGAGCTAATGACGACTAAAACAGGGGGCACGAATGCATTATCCAAAATAAAGTATTTCTGCTCACAGGTAGAAGATTGTAATGCATACCAAATACATTAAAATAGTTTAATGATTCGCTCCTACTATAATAAAAAATTACAAGAAAAACTCTACTAGCCAAATTCAACCACCTCTCTAAGAATAGCTATTTTTTCATACCTCCAAAACGTATAATAATTACTCAATTTTCTGACTCATAAATAATTTAAACAAAATAAGATTTCAAAACCTTAAAACTTGCATGTACAGAATTTCATCACCTGCTCCAGCGTTTCTCTTTGCCCATGCAATAATCAAGCTCTATCGCATAAAGATCAATATTGAATAGTAACGGTAGTTAAGAAAAGCATCGGATGCACAGAGGTGAAGTCCTGAAACTTACGGTATTACACAAGAAGCAATAGAACTACTCTTGAGAGAGTTGCTACTGTCGATGCCTTTGAATTTGTACATTGATTATATCCCCATCTGCAATAGAATCAGCTGCACAGGCAATCAAATCCATCCGTTTGACCCCATTGTCATCCTTACGAACAGAGCTTGGCCTATAATTAATATAATTTTCCTGCATGCAATTATAATTCTCAGATCCCTCCGCTTGAAAGGCCTGCCTGAACAACATGTTTTAAAAACCCTACGTTTGAAATAAGTATAAAGTGGCGTCACAAGTGGAAAGAATAAACTATAATTGAATGAAAAATATAAACCATTCCAATGAAGTCGATATTTGTCATGATCAGTCAAGAAACAGAAACAAGTGTGAAACCAAAAAAAAAAAAAGAAAAAAAAAGAACTCGTGACAATTTGAAAACGATGGGTTCAAAAACTCAATGAACACTTTTTGCTAATTGAAGAAGTTTATTATAACTCCTTTGCATCGAGGCTCCTTTCTACCTTTTTTTGTAAAATTTCATAAGACCAATGAGTCAAGCCTCCTGAAATCTCTGCATCTACAAAATGTCATCTCAACAAGGCATCCCATCTCAGCTTCCATTCCAGCAGTTACCATAAGAATCTCCAGGCATGCCTAAAAAATAAAGAATGCTGGTTATTATCTGATACTCTTTCGAGAATCTAGCACGGAAACAATTCTCACCCTAATATGAGAAAGCCACTTTCGTCCAACTTTCTTGTTGAAGTAAGTTGTTGAAATAACCAAACAACTTTAGATTTGGTGTCTCCTGCTCGTAACAAGACTCCGCATCTAACTTTCCATCATGAGGTTTTTTGTCTCCAATATTCATCCTCCCTCATCAACACCTCTAACATTTTAACGTCAAGGATTACCCAGAGGAGTTCCACCTGTAGCAATTCCAACATATCTAGCTGCTTTTACTCGTTCTGAAGTGCATCCTTTCTATTTACAAACCAGAATACCAAGAGTTTTTCTATTCTGAGTTTATCTTTCTTGCAGGATCAAACCAAAAACTAGAGACGATTAATTAACATCAAGGTTATGTGCTTTTTATGACACCTCATCAGAAATGAAGTCAAGACCAGGTATTAAATATAGCTCCATTTTCCTTCAGAAACACCAGATACACCAAGTCATACAAGAACTATGGTTCCAGAAACAGACATCAATAATCCATCCACATAACAAGGAGTTTTTATAAAATAAAGGACCAGCGAAATACGCAGCTAGAGAAACTAGAGATGAATCAAGAATATAATGATACTTGGAACATGCCATCCATACTGCTAAGAAGAGTAGGGTCAGAAGACACACTGTTTTTCCGGACTGTAGAGTTCAGCTGAAGCGGATTTCTCAAAAGTGCTTGGAGCAGGTTTTGCATGCTTTGACGCATTGCCGCTGTCTTTATCGTGTGCTTTCATGAACCACTTTCTAATATCCGCCTGTTTATCGCATCATAATTAAATAGTTAAGAAGACCGAAACAAGCATTATCAAGTGTGAGATGCGCAAACGCAAATCTCGATGAAAACCAAACTCAAAAGAACACCAGTCGAGGAGAAAAATATGCAAACGACTTCCTCCATTATGACTATTAAAGAAAGAATACAAGTGCAACAGCAATATCAGTTGAACCGAAAACTCTAACTAACCATTATAGAGTGCACAAAAGGCAAGAAACGCCACTCTGCTGTCAAGTTCACCGATCAACCGAGCTCTCAAAGAAAGTTCGTCAAAATCATAATCATTAATTCTTGATGAGGAATGTATTAGACGTACATCGTATCCCGCTGATCGCAATCAAGTGACTCTAGTACGCTATAGTCGTCAACGAAACTAGCAAGGTGATAAAACATTCGTCCTCGATAAATGAGGAACAGTGAACTCGATCTTTTCGATTTTTTCCACAACCGGTTCGCAGCCAAATACCGCGAGAGAAGTTTCCACCGCTCGTTTCGGTAATATGGAGAAGATCGAATCGGCATGGCAGTTTCTCACCGAATGAAAGCGATTAAAGAAACTAAAATGATGAAAATCAGATTCCGGTGAGTGATAAAGACATAAAGAAGTCGTATATACCTCTCGGTTCATCTTCGATCGCCGTCGACCTCCGTGCCTTGGAAGCGAGAAGGAGATCGCAATGGCTCGAGTATTCTGGCGGGTAAAAGCCGAGTGTCGTCGTATAAAAGCATGATGCCACGTCATTTCTTTTCATTTTTAAAATTAATTTTTCTCTAAGGTTTGTATTTGGTTCATTTTAGTCTTTCCGTCACATTTTCCGTAAAATTATTAATAAAAAAATTGATGTGACATATATATATATTTATTTATTTTGATGTGACATTTTTCTAAAAAAATATAAATTAATAAAAGAACAAAAAAAAATGTGAAAATTGACGTCAGCATCAAGAGTTACATTACATGATTAGGAGACGACATGTCGGTTAAGCACCAAAAGTGTTTTGGAGAGATTTGATGCATGCACAAACGACAACTAGACAAGGTTCTATTGGTTGGGACGATGATTTATTACCTGAGAATTAAAATTAAAATTAAAATTAAAATTAAAATTGAGTTATTGGGAAACAGCTAAGAATGCGGTGAGTTTATATGACAAAAAGTGGAAGGGAGGAAGGGGAGGAAGATCGTAGATGGATGGCGAGCTTAGGTCAAACCAACGTATCCGATGGGACAAGATGTGATTAGTGATAAAAAGGTTGAAACCATTCCTTTTGCTTCCTTCCATCATTTATGTATATTTTTCACAAAATTGTAACTTTTGTGGGGTACCATTTTTTATAACCAATAATATTTATGGTCCTTTTTTTTTTAAATAATATCTTCCGAACAAATTTTTTTTATTTTATTGTTATTTTGTAGTCGAAAAGGTGTGAGATTCCATGTTGGTACGAGAGGGTAACAAGGTGTGAGATCCTACTAATGGTGTGAAAACCTCTCATTAGTAGACGTGTTCTAAAATCATGAAATTGACGACTATATATAATGGCCCAAAACGGATAATATAGGTGTGAGATTTCACATTTTTTGTAGAGGGGAACAAAACGTTCCTTGTTAAGGGCATGGAAACCTCTCCCTAGTCGACGCGTTTTAAAACTGTGAGGCTGACGATAATACGTAACGGGCCAAATAGACAATATCTGTTAAAAGTGGACTTGAACTATTACATCTGGAATCAAAGCCAAACACTAGGCGGTGTGCCAGTAGGCCCCCAAGGTGGTGGATGGTAAGATTTCACCTCGGTTGGAGAAGGGAACAAAAAATTCATTATAAGGGCATGAAAATCTCTCCCTAGTAGACGTGTTTTAAAACCATGAGGCTGACGACAATACATAACGAGCCAAAACAGACAATATCTGTTAAAAGTGGACTTTAGCTATTACATATGGAATCAAAGCCAAACACTAGGCAGTGTGTCAGCAATGACGTTGGCCCCAAGGTGATGGATGGTAATCTCTCACATTGGTTGGAGACGGAACAAAAAAATTCCTTATAAGGGCATGAAAACCTCTTCTTAGTAGACGCGTTTTAAAACCATGAGGCTGACGACGATACATAACGAGTCAAAACAGACAATATTTATTAAAAGCAACGACGCTAACTCCCAAGGTGGTTGATGGTAAGATCCCACATCGATTGAAGAAGGGAACAAAAAATTCGTTACAAGGGTATAGAAACCTCTATTAATAGACACATTTTAAAATCACGAGACTGACAATAATACGTAACAGGTAAAAACAGACAATATCTATTAACAGAATAAAACGAGTATGATATGTATTATTATTTACCTTTGGTTGGTATGATTTTTTAGGGTGAGGTTAAAGAACAGTTTTGGAAGCTGTGTCCCAGGAGGCATGAGGCGCGGGCGGGCGCGCGCGCACAGGGAGAGGCAGGCGATGGTAAACATTAGAGAATTAATAGGTCGCCCACTTCCTCCGCTACAGAAAGACAAGCCAAAGAGGCGAAGATGGTGAAGAGAAAACGGCTGAGGGCAGAGGCCTCATTCCCATCCACTCAATCCTTCAATCATAGCGCACCCCACCACACCACACCGCACCCCACTTCCTCTCTCTCTCTGAATCAGAGTCGTCCCATCCTCATCTTAATAATACCCCTCATTCCATTTCCTTCTCTCTACAAAAGCATCTTTCTCTCTTCCTTCCCATTTCTTTTCTCTTTTCCCCTTTCATCTTCTTCTTCTTCTCATACATCAAAAAAAAAATATATATTTTTAAAAAATGAGATTTTTAGTTTCTTAAATTTTGTTAAAAAGGGTGTGTTTTTAATTCAGCCTTTATATATATATATATATACTCGCGAAGAAGAAATGTCACTGGAGATGATGGCACCAGAACGTGTTTGTTATGTTCACTGCAACTTCTGCAATACCATTTTAGCGGTACAAAACCTTCACCTTTCTATATATATATATATATATGTTTTTGTTTTATGACTCTGTACAGTACTTTCGTTTTCAGCTGAAAAGACCAGCAAGTTTTTTTTTTTTTTTTTTTTTTTCACTTTAATTGTTCAGACTGTTGTAGGAGGAAAAAAGTGTTAGTTATGTATATATATGAAACTAAATCATGGGTTTTGTTCTTTTTACTGTTGGAATCTTGAACATGGTTACAAATTGTGAGATCTTTTGATATTTCACCATAAATCTGCTTAAAAAACTGTTTTTGAAGCATATTTTATGAGAATTTCCATCTGGGTTTCTTACTAAACCCTCAGATTTGTGCAAATTTTGCTTCCAAAATCCAAGAACATGAAGTGAAGACGTTCAAGATGTGAAGTGGATCCAATATTAGTAGCTAGGGTTCTTGAATTTTTGTTGACTGTTCTTAAAATTAGGTTTTGGTAACAGTAATTAATTACAATCCCCAGATCCTTCTTTCTCTCTCTGCTTTCTTTTATTAATATTTTAATAAGTTGAATTACGTTTAGATCGGATCGAAGCATTCTCGCATGCTAAGATCAAAAGCTTTTTTTTTCTTTACCTAATTTTCCTACGAAGGAAAGAGGTGTTTGGAGAGTGAAGCAACCCAACCCAACTCTGAATGGTTTGAGTCTCGACTCTATGGTTTTCGTTCCAGTCACGTCGTTTTCTCATCGTTCTAAATTTTCCATCTTTTATCATCTTGTTTGCGGTGGTGTCAGATCGGAAGTCAGTAAGAAACCACCATGGAAAAGGATGTTTAAAGAGAGAGAGAGAATTCATGAACAAAAAAAAAAAAAAAAAAAAAAAAAAAAAAAAAAAAAAAAAAAAAAAAAAAACCAAAGTTGTCTTTTGTTTAATCTCTTTCAGGTTTGGTTAATGTATGAATTAATGTTAAGTGTTCTGTCGGACAGGTAAGTGTTCCATGCAACAACATGTTCACACTGGTAACTGTGAGATGCGGCCATTGCTCAAATCTGCTGTCTGTTAACATGGGAGCTTCTCTTCAAGTTCTTCCTCCTCAAGATTCCCACCCGGTAATATATATATGAATCGTATGATATTGTCCACTCCTTTGAGTATAAGCTCTCATGGCTCTGTACTTTCTCAAGAAGCTTCATGTCAATAGAGAGAGTATTCTTTGATTATAAATATATTATTTATTTATTTATTTAATTAAAGAGATATTTTGTTTGGTGATGTGTGTTAGGGTAATAAACAGCAGCAGGTGAGTGGTGGGGATTGGAGCAAGGACAGAGGCTCTTCTTCTTCTTCCTCTTCTTCCTCTTCAAAATGCACTAAAATTGCCTCTCTTGATTCTGCTGAACGTGACCAACACAGAATCCCTCCTATTCGCCGTCAGTTTTCTCTCTATTATTTATTATTATTTTTTATATATATATAATTTGGTTATGAATGTTCGTTTTTTAATAATTAAATACGAACAAAAAAAAAAAAAAAACTAAAATTTGATATTGATTATGATTTGATTAAATGTTCAGAGAGGTAGATTGGGACATTAAATGAACTCCGTTACAAAATTAAATAGTTAACTTTTTAATTTATGCTCACATTTAAAAGATCACAGGACACATGTTTGTAAGGAGAACAAAACATTATGTGAAAATCTCTCTTTAACAAACATGTTTTAAAACATACAATATTTAGTAACAATGAGTTCTAAATTTTGAAAATGTTCTTAATTTTGTGTCACTTCTGCTCTGGCAGATATCCGTCTCTAGACTTTGATAATGTTGGTATAGGTAAGAACCACAACGGTTAAATGAAGTTAATAGTGTGGTTTAGTTGGATGAAGTATTAGATGCATACGGACGTGGACCCATCTAGGATGGTGACCATACATGCATAATAGAATTCGACCCATCAATATCATGGGCCATTCTTGGTATGCATGTATGTTAATTTGGTACGTATGTATGTATGTGTGTATATATGATATGTATGGGTTAGCCTTTCACTCATTTGTCATGTCATTGATTCATTGATTCCTCTGCTCCTTTGCACTTTTTTCATTCCTATTTAATCCCTCATGTTTAATAGTATAATATAATGGGTTTGGATGTTGGCAGCACCAGAGAAGAAACAGCGTGTTCCTTCAGCATATAATAGGTTCATCAAGTAAGTTGATGCCTTAATTAGTTTGGGATTAGTGGTCTTAATTAACCTTAATTAATGGGTTTAAGTGTTTTGTTTTGTAGAGAGGAAATCCAAAGGATTAAGGCGAACAATCCCGACATTAGCCACAGAGAAGCCTTTAGCACCGCCGCTAAAAATGTAAGTTCTCGAACCTCTTGCTCTTGCTCGAAACTAAGATCCGAGTTTAAAGCTTTTGAGACATATATAGAAAGGTCTTTGATTAGACGTACGTGACGATACGAGAAGAGTTGTAATCAAGATGAAATTGACGACCGTAATTCTAGTTTTAGACGTAAATTTTTTTTTTTTTATCTTTTTTAAGGAAATATAATTACTGGTTGATTAGGGATTAAAATGGGTAATTAAATGATTAATCCATCTAATTAGTGGGTGGTTTGATTATGCAGTGGGCACATTATCCTCACATCCGTTGTGGGCAGAAGGTGGATGGAAACAAGCAAACAAAATAAGCTTGAATTTGACCGGAGATCATCACAGTCCATCCGATTATCCAATGGGGTTCTGCCACCTGTTAATTCTAGAGATGATGATGACGTGTCAATAGATTAAATACTAAATAAAACATCTTTTTTTGTTTTTTTAATTAATGTGTATTAATTTAGATTCTATTATTTCCAACAAAAATTGAGGTTGACGAAGTCCTCCTGCCCTGACCCTATAGGAAAATAAATTGCTTTGATAACCTCACCCCGCTCTCCCATGTCCTTTAAATACGTGTGATGTAATAACAAGTGAGATTAATGTTATTACATATTTATAATCTATTTATTAAGTCGATTATGTCTCGAAATTGACTTTTGAGATGATAATTGACACAGTCCAAGCCACCACTAGCAGATATTGTTTGCTTTAGCTCGTTTTAAAACGTGCCTATGGTGAAGAGGGTCTAGCCCTATTCCGACTATTGCACTGCGTACCTGTGTGGAAACCTCACATCGATTCTACTGCATACCTCTTCCCTGCGTAATGTGAAGAGGGTCTATCCTATTTCGACCAGTGCACTGCATACCTGTGTGGAAACCTCACATAGGTTCCACTGCGTACTGTGAAGAGGGTCTAGCCCTATTCCGATGACTAGCTCTGGATTGTGAGATCCCACATCGGTTAGCAACGGAAACAAAGCATACCTATGTGGAAACCTCCTATGATACACACGACGATATGTAATGGGTCAAAGCTAAAAATAACTACTAGTGGTGGGTTTGAGCGGTTACAGTAATTGATATCATATCTACTGAATTATACTGGGATAAAAGAAAAACTCGTCGTTTGTCGTTTTCATAACACGGTTTGAAGCGAGACGTAGATGAACGGTGCGAGACATCAAGGAAGAAGGTTGTATGGGAAGGACCACTCTAGCAATGAAAAAAGTATATAGAAGATGATGAGTTTATTGAGAGAAGAGCACTTTAATTTGAGTGTGAATTTGGAAGGTTATATATAAATCTAAGGCTGCCCATGATGGATATTGATCGTCGCAGTATTTTGCCAGTAGTGTGTGTTGTGGGTGTCAGTGTTACAGACACCAAATTCATTGATTTTATGTAACGAAATTCAATAATATCGATGTTAGAGAATTGGAAGGGAAAAACAATGGATTTTGTTGGCACACAAAAGACATACAGAAAGATATGAATAAAGGCATTACGTTGGGGTTAGAAGCAACAGCCTTTTGGAACCCAATGCCTATGCCTATGCCAACCATATACTCCCTCTTTCTTTTTTTTTTTTCATCTTTAATTTCCTCACGATCGCTCAATTTAGAACATGTTTTGCTTCGAACGATTCTTGAGATTTGAATTAAAACATACACATGGGTACACGTACGAACCCTACTTTTAATAATTGTGAATCGATGGTTGTGCAACTAGTTGTTTACACGGAACATTTTTGTTGTACCGAAGGAATCTCACCCATAAATAAATTAGAGCTAACCTTTAGATTTGTGGAAACTTTTCTCTAACAAAGGTGTTTTAAAACTCGTGAGACTGACGGCTATACGTAACGGGCAAAAATTAGGGTTTGTCGAACGGTTTTGGTTGTTTAAACCCTAAAGGCAGGTTTGAGAGGAGGAGGAGGTAGAATGGATGGGAGTGAGGGAGTGAAGAGATGAGTAAGAAGTGTGTTGATAAGAGATGTGCTGTATTCCATTGCAGAAGAAAGTATAGGCGAGAGATATAAGGGAGTGATGAGTGGGGGCCTCTATTATGTACGAAGCTGCCTCAAACAATTTAAAGGGTGGAAAATGGTTGCCTTTTCAATCAAACTCAGATTCCCACAACCACCAATCACATAAATTGCGGTTGTAGTTTAGGGTGAGATTGCTCTTGTGGATATGCAAGGATACATAGTTTAAAAAAGTGCACTTCTTTTTTAGTAACTGGATTATAACATGTTAAAAGGATCGATGTGTAACGAAACATTCCTTGTAAGGGTGTGGAAGCTTATTACTAAGAGACCTGTTTTAAAGTTGTTAGGTTAACGATGGTAAAGGAGACCCTTTGATTATTACCGAGGGGACCATGGTTGTTGGTTTGGTTGTGATTGTGTAGATCCATTATAGATTGTTTAGGGAAAAGTGGTTGCAAGGAGCGGAACATCAGTCGAAACAACCGATGTTTCGAGGGCCCATTAGGAGGAAAAGCAAAGATGTCCTTAAAAAACAACCGATTCTTCGAAAACCACTAATATTAAAACTACTCTCCGCTTTACGTACACAGTGAAAAGGAAAAACGCAAACTTTTTAGAATTACAGATTAATTTGGTTAGGTGAACTGTTATTACAATGTTAGTTTATATGAATTCTCGGGAGTTCGAGAGAAGTAAAACGATGAGCGATAATAAGAAGGGTAAAATTAGTTTGATATAAGCTGAAGAAGAAGAAGAAGGGGGGAGGAGGAGGAGGAGGAGGAGTGGGTGGAGAAAGTGAAGAAGAGAGAATCTGAAACGTCAAATCAAGAAGTTGTTGGGAGATTTGGAGGCATGTGGAGGGCTTCATGAATGGGTCTTGTCCGAAAGATAGACGGATGGATTTTACCTTACATTATATAATATATTATAATATAATCTCACAAACACATTACATTTTTTGAAAATGTCTGTGTCGACATGTCGTGTCACTTCTTCATGTCTCTCTTTTAAAACAGTCTTTCAACTCTCCTCTCTCTCAACTAAAGCAAGAAAGAGACCATTCAATTAAAACCCTCCTTTTTCATTTCCTCCCATCTCTCTCTCTCTCTCTCTAAAACCCATATATATATATATATGTATATATATATGTATTCTTATGCTACGTAAAATACTGTTCTTCAATGATCACCCACACCTCATCATTTCTTCTTCACTTTCAACCAACTACATACTGTAATCTTATGTGTGAATTAAAGGGGTTGTTTTTTTTTTTACCTCTATTTCAAGATTCTCATTATGCTTTTGTTGAGAATTTTTAATCAGGGTGAAGGAAAAGTGATGAAAAACTGACCAGTCTCTGTAAAATCACACAACACATCGGTAATTTCTCTAATTTTACACCCAACTTTGAGAGTGAAAAAATCAAAGGAATTAGATTAATTTGATTAAGTGTGGTTTAGGTGGACATTATTTTTTAATTCCAGATTTTGGATTAAATAATTGAATAATGTGACACTGAATATTAGATTATTAACTACCAAGTTCTCCTTGCTTTTTCCACAAAGTATTTTTAAACCGTAACGAAATTTCTAGAAAATAATTGTAATTTTTCGAAAGCATCTTGCTATTTTGGGAGTATTTTGAAATTAGTTTAAAAATATTGTAATTGACGAATATAATTTTGCCCTAAAAAGGAGAATTACCTTAGAGAACAACTACTAAATAAATAAATATTACTTAGCAAGAAGGAAGAAAGAGTTGTCACATCCCACACGCCAAGAAAGGAAAGAAAAGAGCAGTGGTCCGAACTACTAAGCAATCAGCTGTTTTGGAAACTCCCAATCTCTTTTAATTCTTTTTTTTTTTTTTTTTTTTTCTTTTATGTGACATCTCAATCTCAATCTCAAGCTCATCACCCAACGCATTCAATTATTCCACCTCCTCATTTCATCATCTTTTTACTAACATTTCATTGCCCATCACTCTCATCTTTGACATTCTGATATGTATTCTATGGTGGATTTTGGATTCCTATATGTGTAGTGTTCTTAATGATTCTGATATGTATTCTGTGGCGAAAATCGATGCTCGTTTCTGATGACAACATATAGAACTAATAAACAGAAGAGAGCTGTGATGTTTTGTACTGACTAAAGCAGTAGAAAGACAGAGAAGCAAACAACAAATGGAGAAGAAATCATTAGTTTCCAAGTCAAAAGTGCTACGCACACTTTTATCAATATTATCATGATGTTCATTCATAATTTCGTACCTCATTTGAAGCCAATTACCAGCCCAGTTTAAAATTAATACAATGGTTAAAAGAAAAAATGGATCAAAAGTTATCAATTAGTCACTACAGGTTAATGACAAAAGAATCAACACACCAACCATAGCCGCAATGAATTTCTCAGGAATTTCATGATAATAAAGAATTACTCAATATCCTAGCTCTCAGTAACCGTAAAAAATCTTCAAAAGAAAAGAGTTAGGCTTGTACCTTACGCTATTGTCCAAGACTCACAAGAGATTATATTGAAAGCCTCTCCTCTTTCAAAGATGCTAACGCCAATGAATGTAATTAGTATCCTAACATCTGTAGTGTTCTCTTGCTTAAGCATGATGGAAACTGGCTTCTTCCGCATCGTCTTTAGGATGAAACTCCATTCAGGTTTCACCCATACTGAAAACTACATGTATGGTTAATCAAGGACAGAGAAAGACGAATGATGATCATGGCAAGAGCTAATTAGCATCAAATTTCCAGAAATTATCAAGACTTCACTTCAATGAAACCTCAGCCAATTGTGAATATATCAAGCTACAACTCTTCGGTAGAAAAGAACGTAAGCAGCAGAAGATTTTATCTTATCCAGGCCAATTGGATAAACGTGGCTATCATCGAAGTCATACCACTGGTCACCTCCTTGCTATATCAGAAATGAGGGGAAAACAGAAAACATCAATAGTTATAATCAACAATTAAAAATTTAGAAGGTTGATATGAATAAGTACTCATCTTGTAACCAGACAAGTGGTTAATAATAGAACTCTCACTGATGTGGACTTGAATTTAAAACAAATATAAACAAATAAAAAGACAACAAGAGGGAAGGGGCAAAAAAAGAATGCATATCAGAGTTCTTCAAAAGGAAAAAAAAGAAGGCTACCATAGATGCAGGAGGTAACGGGACCGGAAATCAGAAGGAAAAAAAAAGGGATCAGGTCTTGAAATCAGAGTTCTTCAAAATTGAGGTCGATATAATTTTGTTCTCACATGCAAAGGCTACCATTAACAGAGATGATAATGTTAGTCTCTCTGTATGAAATGAACTCATAGTTACGCTCTAAGATTGCATGTGGCCAAAGAATGTGCTCTGAGCCCACAAATTTTCAAGCATCAAAAGTCTACTAATTGTAGTTCTTACGAGAGAGAGAGAGAGAATTGGGGGGTGTGTTTTTCCATTCAATCACTACGCACTAAAAATTCAAATTTAGTTAACTCCATAAAAACAGCAACATACTCCACAAAGGTAGCAACCAACTCCGAGAATTGGGGAGTGTGTTTTTCCATTCAATCACTACGCACTATAAATTCAAATTTAGTTAACTCCATAAAAACAGCAACATACTCCACAAAGGTAGCAACCAACTCCAAAAATAGCAACTAATTAGAAATAGACTAGAAATAGAAATAGACTTAAAGCTTGAGATTACTAACACCGAGTTGACTCAGTTAACTCAAAAGCACATTTCCCAACAACAAATGATGACTTGGAAAACAAAAGAGAAATTAGGACTCGGTTTGTCACTAGTACTTCAAGGTTCAATTGACTATATGGTCATTGTTGACGTATTAAACTGACTTGAGGCAGAAATTGTTGTTCTAATCATCAGCGGCATACTATATGCAGGCTAGGAAAAGTACTAGCAAACCAAGATTTATAATATCTTCTTCTTACATACAAGATGAACTGATGTAGTCGAACATATTGATTAGTTGCTTGTCGATTTGTAGCTTTCAATTTACTGATGTAGACAAAAGGTAGAAAACAGAAGAAATGTGAGGCATCTTGGGAAAAGAAAAAGTAACATCACTTACATGGACAAATGCTGTGTAATGGCCACCTCCCATGCTCCCATAGTGATTGCTGACTGCATAAAGCACATAGCGAGTACAAGAGTGACCATTCTTATAGGCAACGTGCATCGATAAATCCAGATCATCAACAGGAAAGTCAACGTATGTCTCTAGCTTGTTCTTCATGAACCGGCTATATGAGAACCTCTTCAAATGAATAACCAAAATCTCTGGTAATCTCCAAAGATCTAACTTTTTACTGGCTTGACAGTGTTTTTTGCAAGTAGGACAATACCTGAATAAAAACATGACGGTACATGATATCAGGAAATCAACAATAGGCAAATGTAACTATAAGGAAGATAGTTAAATTATGAAATGAAAGATTTTCAGATCATAATGTTTCAATTTCCAAATTCCAAACAACCAAATCAGAATTACAAAGTTCGTTAATACATTCAATTTCTTTAATAAAAGGAAACAAAAATATAAATGAACTGACCACATGTCTTCGGGTCCAAGAGGCTCCTCCTGCAAAAAAGCTTCAAGGCACTTATACAGAGAAACAGATTCTTGAGGTCTCTTTGTAAGGTAGCTGGATTGGAAAACCTCAGGTAAAGAGGTAAGAAGGCGAGTGTCATAACGCTCAATTTGCTTTTCTGGCCAGGACACAAGCACATATAGCCGCTTGCTCTTTTCCGACCCTACTACAAATTCACCAACTTGAATTTCAGAGCCCCGAACGAATCCCTTCTCGTCTGTAGTGTAAAATTGTAAATCAGCATCCGGCGGAGAATTGTCTGCATCTTCACTTCTCAAGGGATCAATTGCACAAGCCGATCCGGAATTAGTTCCATTCTCCACCTCCCTGGTTTTCTCAATTGCATCAACATCAGAGGTACGGTTTTCTTCCAAAGCATCTTGAGCAGGCACCTGGAAGGGACTGAGCAATTTTTTGTATATAGCTTGAATATCAGATCCATTAAAGGCACTAGGCAGCTTGGCCACGAGGGGAAATCCAAATGCCTTAAGCCTTGTAGTACGTTTTCCATTGATGTACTGCCTGACCAGAAAAGAAAAATTAGATCCAGGTAGGTGAGGCAAAACACGGAATATGGTTACTCGAATTCATCTAATTAATCCTAGAAAGCCTAACCACGATCTTGCAGCTGTCAGTTTGTCACTAGTAAATTCATTGTTTTGTAACAAAATTATAATGAGCAATCCAAGAACTAGTTTCTCATATTGTTGAATGTTATCCAGTAAATCACGGTGCAAAATTACATTTTTTGGAGGCAAATTGCAAATGTAAATCCCAGAACATTTTAGTTATCATGATTGTATAATTTTCCAATCTACATTGAAGGGCAAAATTGAATAAACTTAATCGGCCATGGTAAATGTGTCCAAGAGTTGAGTCATAGTGGAAACGTAGTTCTTATTGTTGGCCATACCTAGTAAATACAGTGCTGCACCAAAATTTAAATCTCAGAGACAATCCTCAACTTGGAATGTTATCAAATTAAGCTATTCTATTTCCCCAAAGTTTTCTTCTTCATTCTAAGGAAGATAGCTAGCGTCACATCTATGTTCTATTTTGTAAATAGAAAAGCAATGTTGACTTGTAGTATGAAGCCAATTGGCTTACCTCATGTGATTAGTAAATGGGTTGCTATTAAGCTAGCTAATGGGAACAATGACAAGAATGTAAACAAGTCTAACGATTATACTTTTATTGAGTGACAACTAATATAATATGCCGATATGACTGCTAAGGGACTTACGCCTCCTCCCATCTTTTTAATTAAGAGAGTTTTTTCCAACATCACCTATGCTACTAGCATCTCAACCAACCAAGAAAGTGACCATGTTAAAAAATAATGGTCAAATAAGAGTTAGACATTAATGAGTAAAAACTTAGAACCTCTACATCTGAATGGGATATAGCAACATTTTTTTTTATGTTAAATAATCCAATATGCATGTAACTTCAAACTTCTAAAGCTTTGCAATAAGTGTAATGCACTCTCAGCCTCCCCAATCTCCCCTCCTATATTAAGTGAAAAAGATACCATCCCCTAGAGGCCAAAACTAGTTTACAATGAACTTCATAAATATAAATTTTAACTATCAGATATGAAATCACGTGAACACAAGATCCATCAGTTTAGAAATATAATGCACTTACTCCTCGATGCTTTGATGCATGAACACAGCCAAGGGCATTTCTTCATCATCTTTTGCTAAGCGATAGGCAACCAATCTGTCACCATCTCTTATCAAGGATAAAGAATCAGCTGGCTCCTCAAGATACCGTAATATGCGGTTGTTGTATACCTGCATAGAAATTCATGACTTCAGAGGTCACTAAGAATAAAGTAGCTCATGCTATATTATAAAGAAATTAATCCAAAAGCCATCACAATGCAGCCAATTGAGAAGTATTACAATCACAATGATATACCTCGGCAACCAATAAAGTCTCATCAGCTTTTAAAGAGCATGATATACTAAGTGCTTTTATTAGATCTTCCCATTTTCCGGACTTGGGAACTGTAATGGTATGTGGAGCTGGAGTACTACCATCAGTGCTCACAACTGTTAAAGTCATTGTTCGCGTTGTTGTTGAAGGAAGAGGCAGTGATAAATACATGAATGGATCAAAGGTAGTAGAAACCTTTTTGCAAATAGGACAAACTAATGTTGACTTATATTGACCCTGCAAGGATGAAATCAAATGATGAAAGCCTTGAAGAGATAAATTAAATTGGAAATGTCACTTGCCAGACAAAAACTTAGACATGCGAATTCAAAAAAGTAGCATTCATAAACAAGTCTGATACCTCAATGAACGTAACTAATACTATGAAAAAGTAGATTTGATTTAGGCAAGAACATAAGACATTCATTAACATGCTATTACCAAGGTGAAAGGCATGTAGTGCAGGTTATAAAGGAAAAAGAAGGGAGGAAGGCATACTTGGCACACATCAACAATGATGGAGTCATTGCGAGCCAAATGGTTTTGCCAATATTCATCTGCTACTTCATTATCGGGTCGTCCATCTCCATCCTTGACTTCTACATAAGGCTTCTTTTTCACACGATTGAGATCTTCATGGAGCCCATCCAACAAAAAAGCAAGGAGCTCCTGTAAAAAAGAAATATTGAATCAGACTACAAGACAATTGATGAAATCCTGTACCCAGAACCCTCATCCCTCAGAGGAAGGAATCTAAAACCCTGCTTTTGATAGAAAAGAAACTTCACTGACTTGAGAATCATGTTGATTAAAGCCACTGAATTGAGGAGCAAATCTAGCAAGCTTAGACTTGAACGTTCTGGGTGCCACAGGACTTGCGCCAGGCGCCCATAATTTCCTCAACATATCTCCAAATGCCAAAGCAATTTCCCCCTGAAAAGTTACTGCTTGTTACGGACTTAAAGGGAGGTGGGGGGAATGAGCAGATTCTTGAAAACTGAGAAATTTCCTATATAAACACTTCTTTTTGGTATTTTTTAAAAAAAACAAGAAACAAAACTTTTCATTGATTAAATGAAAAGAGACTGATGCTGAACAGATACAAACACTACAAGGGAGTCAATGAAAAGAGTAAGTGAAAGCAGTACATAAAGAGAATTACAATGAAAAAAGATGGAATTCTGGCCAAGACATTAAACTTGTAAAGAGATATCAACAAAAGACTTAGAAAGAAAACAGCATGAACAAGTCTAGAGTCAAGCCAAAGAAAAGTGATACATCTGAGGGAGGAGCTTGATAGGGAAGATCCTTCAATTTCTTTTGAACCATAAGTTAGAATGAAAAGCCGAATATCTTAAAAAATAAAAGCACCAAAAGAGTTGGAAGATTTCCTTGAAGAAAGATTTCAGGCTAGCGGATTCAAAAAAAAAAAAAAAAAGC